GAGCCCCTCGGTGAATAGCTGAAGGGTGTGATTTGGGACAGGAAGATGTCCCCAAACAGGAAACCTGGAGTTACATTGTGTGGAGGGAGAGAGCTCGCGCTCTCTCTCTCTCTCTTCCCCCCCCCCCCCCCCCCCCCCCGTGCTGAGTACTTTCCGTGTGCTTAACTTTTAACTGTATTCCTCACCATCCTAAGCAGTGGGTACAACTGTTACCCCAGTTTTACAGAGGAGAAAACAGAAGCCCGGCGAGGCTAGAACTTGTTTAAAGTCACACAGCTTGGATGTAGTGGAGCCACAGCGAGTGCCCGAGAAAAAAGTGAGCTGAGGGAGTCTGGAGGCAGAAGCAGAGGCTCTCCTCGGCATTTGGGAAGTCTCACCGGGTAACTGAATTTTTTCCCCTTTTGTATTGGGGGCGGTTTTGCGGAAACCTGGGCAGAAGTTCTGGGCTGCCCGAGGGTGCCAAGGATTGGGAACACCACGGTGAGGAAAGCAGTGCCAGGTTGGTGATGGCGGAGGGGTTACCGAGACGGCGAGCTGACTGAGGTTGGAGACTGGCCTTCCCTTCCCCCCGGGGCCTGTGCACCCCGCAACCCTTCTCCCCTGCGGTGAGGCTCCCGCATCTGTCACCCCTTCCCCGGCGGCTCTCTGGCTTGATGTCTTGTTGATTGTCAGGAATCCACACACCTGGAGCCAGACAGCTCACACATGGGTGCAGGAGCTCGCCCCGCACACCTCCCCTCCCCGGCCCTCGGGGCACCCCAGTACCCTGATACCTGCAGCGGGGTGCACCCCTGCAGTCACACGCAGGAGGCACAAGGCGGGGTGGAGGCCCCGCGCGGGGACGGAGGTCCACCCGCCCAGATGTGTGGAGATCCGCGGGAGGAGACCCCGCCCGGCCCGGTGAGCCCCGCTGGGAGCCGGGTGTGTGGCGCTGGTTGGCAACAGGCGCCCACGGTTGAGAGAGAGGCAGAGGGGCTGTGCCATCCGTCGCCGCGCCCCGCTCCTCTGGCGCACACCTGGCAGCCGCCCCAGAGCCCCGGCAGCGGCCAGTTTTCCCTCCTTCGGGGCCGGTCCTGCCGCGTGACCCCTTTCCCGCCGAGGCAGCCTCCACCCGCACCCCCGGGCGCTCGGGCCGCCCTCACCTGGCGAACAGGACGGTGCCGTGCTCCAGCGGGCTGCGGCTCACCGCCCGCCAGCTCTGCCGGATCAGCTCGGGCTCTGGGCGCTCCATGCTGTCCCGGGGACGCGGGGCGCGGGGCTGGGACCCTCGGGGCTCGGGCGCCGTCACCTCAAGTGCCGCGCCATCTCCTCCGCGACGGGCCCCTCCGCCCCCCGTACGCCCCCCGTGCCTCCGCCCGGCGGGGGCCGCAGCCGCTCCTTCCCTGGCGCGGGAGAGAAGAGGCGCACGGCCAGCCGTAGGTGGAGGCACCCCAGCTGTGCTTCCGGGGACCCCGCTCGGCCGCTGCGCCCTGCGCCCCGCAGCCGCGAGAGCCGCCCCGCCCCGCGACGCCCGGGCTGGGCGCTTTAAAGCCGCCGCGGCCCCCGCCCCCTCCAGGCCAGGAAGACGCGCGCTCCCTCCGCTAGCCGCTCTGGCCAGGGACGACCTGGTGGCCTGCAAAAGGCCCGGCCTGCAGAACGTAACAGACATCAATGAGGCTCTCCAGGCCTCAGTTTCTCCTCCCGAGCCCCGAGGGCACTGTGTTGAATTTGGTCGCCTCAGGTAGGCGCTGCGTGCGCCCCCTCTCCACAGGCCCCTCAACTCACGCATTGCTGGAGGCATTTGAGTTTGCCACCCACCTGGCCTGCAGGTCAGGCCTGGGAGGCGGCCTAGGGGCCTAGTTCTCGGTCCGACTAGGGCACCAGCACACGTTGGGAACCACCAGGGCTTTCAGCCGTAGGGACAGGGCCAAGACCACAGCCATTCCCAGCCAGGCCTGGGTTTTTCTGAGACTCCATCTTTAGAAATCCCTGAGATCAAGTTCTAATCCCAGCTCTGCTTGGCCAGGGTGGAAACTTAATTCTAGCTCTGCTTGGCCAGGGTGGAATCTTGAGCGAGTTCAGCTCTAACATTCTACCATTCCATGATTTAATTTTAATTTTAATTTTTCACCTCTCCCCTCCCTGGGCCCTCCCCACTTCCATGATTTTTAATCTTTTTTTTTTTTTTAATGGAAGTACTGTTTAATTTTTCATTAGAAGTTCAGATGATAGAATCCATGCTCCTCACTCAGGGTGTGCAGTTGGCCAACTGTCAGTTAGAACTAAACTTTTCTGTTTCAAAGCAGAAGTTCCTCAGGCCCCAGCCCAGTGCTGGTGGCCCAGGTTAGGGAGAGCAAGCCCATTTCACCTTTATTTCTCTCTGATTATTCCCTCAGGGGTCTCCAAGCCTGTCTCCTCTGTCTGTCTACACCTCTCTGGGCCTGTTTCCTCAGTTGTGCAGCAAGGGGGTTGGGTGGCGAGGTCTCTGGGGCCTTTTAGTCCACCTCCTTTGGTTCCATGGATAGAAGGTGGGTGTTCCCGAGTCCCCGGTTATGAACAGCTGGGGCTCCATGCCCAGCCCTGTGTTAGACATGGAGTGGTGAGTCCTGGTCTTGAAAATGTCTCCTTCTGGCCCTGAATCAGAACTGAGTGCCTCAGCAGAATTCTTCTTTCCTGCTCCCAGCCATGCCCCAGGAAACCATGTAGCTGTTCTCCCTCTTCCAAGGACTCAGGAGTTTGTGGTATCCCCTATTCTATTTCCCATTTCCTCACAAATCTCTGGGCTGGAGCAGGAGAGCAAGGCTGTAAGGCAGCCTGGAAATGCTGGTGTCCTAAGGTCCAAGAGGTCTCCAAGCAAGAGCACAAAGGGATGGGGGTTGAAGGGACAAGACGTGATTAGACTTCCAGCTTGGGGTCTTGTGAACCTGCAGCCAGGTGTGGCAGGTCACAGGGCAATGCCATGTGTCACTGGTGAGCTTCACTCTTCAGTGCCCAGATGCTCAGTGCTCTGTGCAGGCCACCTGGCTGGTCTAAGATACTCCACTCTACCCAGCTTGCGCTTCTTGCCAGCAGTCTACACTTAGGACCCATCTTGCTTCCTCTCTCCTCTGGCCACGGTCTGGAGTCTGATGAGGTAGTGGGGGTTAATGGCCCTAGCTAGTAAGTGGAGTCAGCACTCAAACCATGGCTTCACTCTTTGTCTTCCTAGAGCCAGGAGATACGTGCTAAGTAAGACAAGCCAAGGTAAGTGCACTCTATCCCTGGTTCCTTCAAGAAAGGCCTGAGAATCTGAATGGGCCTAAGCGACGAGAGTGACGTATTCCCCCCACCAGTAGACCAAGGGTCTGAGCCCACATTTGAGGGGCTCAGTAAAAGTCACAGGAGTCTCCTCCCTGTGGGTCATCCGCCCAGGAGGTAAGAACCTAGAGGAGAGTTCAAGTACTGTCCCAGAGCCAGTGCCGGTCACTGAGGTCCATGTATCATTAATAATACAGAGGTGGCATTGATGTCTAGACACTGTTCTGGGCACCTTACTTCATTTCCTCTTTTCATCCTCACAATAACTCTACGAAGTAGGTGCTATTTATCATACCCTCGTTTTACAGCTCAGGAAACAGAGGCAAAGAGGTTAAATAACTAGCCCAAGGTCACATAGGTAATAAGCAGTGGGGCCAGGATTTGACCTCAGGTCTCTCTGGCCCATCCTGTAGGCCTCCATGCCTCCCTTGCTTTAATGGGCTGTGGCCAAGAGCCCCACCATAGTTCGGACCAAGCCATGGTCACCAGGTCTGGGTCAGCAGTGTGCTAGAGCCAGCGTTTATATGGCTTTCAAGAACCAACTATACACATCTTTTTCCAACTTCTCCTTCAGTGGCATCAAGTTGGTAGCTTAAAAAAGAACATACTGGGAATATTTACACCATGGAAATTGGCAAATGCTATACACACCAGTTTTTCCTCCCAGAACACCTGTTGTTAAACATCTACCAGCACACACTGATCTGGGTTCACCTGGGAGAGCCTGGAAAACCTGGGCCCTAGATGAGCGGCTGCCGATGCATTAAGCAGAAGGCCCATGGGAAGGTGCTGCTCAGGGACCTCGGGCTGAGTGCTCAGGCCTTCTCTCCCGGGTATCTAGGGCTGCCAGGCTGTTCTGAGAAGGTGCTTCTAGTCCCAGGACCAGACTAGAGAGGCAGAAAAACCCCAACTTGGCACTGAGTCCTAGCTCTACTATTTACTCATCGCGAGACCTTAAGGCAAGTCACTTAATCTCTCATGGGTAGAATGGGCACAGAAACATCATTGACTTCACGGGGCCTTTATGAGGATTCAATGTCAGAGATGTGTTGAGACTTTGTAAACGAAGCTGTGCCACTCAAGGAAGAGCGACTTGGCCCCTTCCTAACCTGCCTGTCGTAGGCATGTTCCACCTCCTGAAGACCCACATGCCCCTCTCCCCCCACCAGCCCCCACCAGAGGGTGGCTAGGCAGTCCAGAAGCCCCCCAGTTCCACAGCACAGTGCTACTCCCCTCCCCCACTCTCTGTCCAACACTCAGGTCAGCTCCTGCTGCCTTCAGATCCTTAGCATCACTCCTCCTAACAGGAGACCCCTGTCAAGATGCAGGACTCTGTTAGGCAGAATGGCAAGTTGCTCCAGTGCTGGGACACTCGGCTATCTGGGAAGGGGACAACTGTACCTCTTCTTGCACTCCTTTCTATGCCGTGTGAGCAGGTTGACAGAGGACAAATCAGAGGTCCAGCTTCCTATTTATTTTGGAGTCAGTTTAAATATACCAAAATGACAACCAACATTACTCAAATAACTGTATACATGGGGAGGTCCAAATGCCCCCTGGAGTAATCAGGCTCACCTGCCCAGCCCAGGGCCTCTGCTGGAATTAGATCAGCCTGAGACATGACACACAGGGTGGTTCCTGCACTCAAAACATTCTTCTCAGGGAGGCCTTTCTGGGAGCCAGAGGGCAAGTCAGATTCAATTAAGTACAAAGACAACAAGGCATTCAAAACAACTGCTATTTATTATAAAAGTCAGTGGCTTCTGATTAGAAGCCTTTTTTTTTTTTTAAACCAAATAGGCTCAAGAAGCTGGATGGAGGTTGAACTGACTGACGAACATCTTCCTCTACCAGCGGTTTGTGGGACACATCACGTTTCTGCCAGTGCTAAGGCTAAAGCCCATATTGAGAGAAGCACCCTGACAGCCTTTCTCCAGCATCTTGCAGAAAACAGAACCTCAGCACTCAAAGCTACATCAACCCATGTGACCTTGCCCCCAGAGAAGCACCTGCCAGTATGGGCATGGAGGAAGAGAAAGTGGGCAGGAAATTCTCCTTGGCTCCTTAGAAGGCAGTGGGAGCCCAGGGAAGCGTTTGGCCCCAGTGCAGCCTAACTGGGAGGGAGGGATGGTAGAGGCTGCTGGGCTTCTCCTTCCTCACCCTCATGCGGGGTGGCTGCCCCTCTGGCTCCTTCAGAGCTCCTCCCTTCCAAGTTCCTACTGAGAAACGAGAAGGCACAAAGGAAAATCAGCCACCTCCTGGAGGTCACTGTGGGCCACCTGCTTTGCTGAGAGCCAAGCACAGATCCCTGCATTCTACCTGCAGGAGAGCCCACCCGGCTCAGAAGAAAGCAATTCTGCCTGTGGGGAGGAGAGGAAGGGAGGGGAGGGGAGGAAACATGGTGAGGTGGGAGCAGGGAGCAGAGCTTCTGCATCCCTCCTCTCCTTCCCTGCCAGAAATGCAATTAAGCAAGCAGCCCAGACTCAGCCGCACAGACAGCGCTTCCTGCTGGGGGAAGTCAAAAGGGCTGTAGCGGTGGGAGAGGGAGGTCATCAGGCCCCAGATCTAATTAACCAACCTGCCTTGCTTTTGATGTTGCTGCATTTCCTCTATTAACATTAATGATGGTTGGTTTGAATGTCCAAGCATGGCCAGAAGCTTCCCTCCCCACCACCCAGTAGGTAGCACAGCCTGTCCCTGGGACCAATATCCAGTCTCCGTGGCAACCATCTCCTGAAGATGCTTTAAAGAGATCTGACCCTGTCAGAGTTGTTGGGAGCTACAGAGGAGGGAAAATGGAGTGTGGCAGATTCATCATTAAATCTTGAAGCATCAAAGTCCTCTGAGACATAAGAAATATTTTGTCATGCACCAGGAAGGAGGAGGCAGGCTGAAGGGCTGGCCTTGGGTGGTTTGGTTCTACCACAGGGTTTTCTTCATCCCTTTCGGGGAGGAAGTGGAAGGGGCAGCTCTGAGCTTCTTGTTCGAGCTGCAGCGTGGTAGACGCAGGAAGCTGGGATGCGTTTCTAGGTGCCGTGGGTCTTCATTGCTGCAGCAGTGACAGAAAGGGAATTGCCCACAGAGTGAGGGAGGGGTCAGCAGAGGAGGACTGTAGAAGTGACGCTGGGAAAGCTCAGCAGGTGACAGGAACATTAGTCTGGAAAGGCCAGAGTCCCCATACCCCAGCACCACGCAGATTCCCTGTCCTGTCTCTCATCTACCTTGGGCGCTAAGCAAGGTTCCCAAGGGCTCTCCCAGCAGCCAGGAGAATGCATCTGCCTTGCCCTCCAGGCCAGATGCACTTGGAGAGACCCGGCCTCTGGCACACGGGGCCTGGAAACACTGAGCAGCCCAGGATAGGACATCATTCCTCCCCTGAGTCTCACAGTGTGACAATCCCAAAAAACGAGGAACCAAGGACTAAGGCAGGCCGAGGCTCCGGAATCCGGTGCTTTCTGTGCGTCACGGGCAGGAAGTCCAGCTACCTGCAGTCGCTGGGGGGCGTGGTGGGAGCCAGGCCCTCCAGCTCGGGGCGGTGCGCCTTTCTCCATGCTGGATTCATCTGTTTGTGGGAGGGAGGGCAGCACAACTTTGACAGTCCCATCTGCTCTGCCTTTGGTGACATCCCAAGGTGAGGTCAGTATTCTCTGCCCTCAAGGCCCTCTTAGAGGTCTGAGAACTTTTGATGGATCTTACAAACTAAAACCAAAGAAATCCAACATGAAAAAAATACCAGAAAATACTATAGCCTGGACTATTTTAGTTGATGACACTCAGCTGTCCACAGTTACATGGCCTGTATTCCACAGGGATATGGACAATGTGCCCTCACATACACACACACACCCCCACATCCACCCTCTGGCACCCGTCCTCCCCTGCGCTGTGCACGAGGGAGCAGCCTGAGAGGTGCTGTCCTCTCTGTGGTTCTGTGGTGCTGTGGTTCTGTGGTGCTGTGGACGGAGCTGCGGCTCTCTCCCGGCTCTCTCCAATGCTGGGTTCCGTTCCCGCTGCACTCCCAGAGCTGGGTCCTGGTGGGCAGAATTCTTCAGGCTCCTTAGGCAGCTTCCTCACAGTTGGAAGGGTCCAGTACTGCTCCCCAGCTGGCTCTCCTGGGAAGTCCTGGACCCAGGATGGAATCTTTGCAGTGGCCTCAAAAGTCCCATGAGTCTAGCCACCTTAGTCCTGCCATCGGACTTTGGGGGTCCTGGGCCAGGGGACCAACCATCCCATAAGCCAGAGGGTGGAAGAGGTAGAAGCTGTGAGAGAGAACCAGCAGGAAGCAGTTGGCACCCCCAGTGCCTCAGCTGAGGGGCTTTGAATTCCATTCCTCCTGCTGGAGCTCCGGAGAAATTCCCCATCGCCAAGCCCGGTTCTCTTTCATGGCCTTGTCTGTCTGAGTCCCGCTGGGCACACTGTAGCTGGACAGCTTAGTAGATGCTGACTCAGTGACAATCGTGGAAAGGGCTCTTCCCAAGAGGCCCAGGAGGGCAACCCTTCTAGGGGTCTCGTTATGGGCTATTTGGCCCGGAGTGTTTGTCAACATGTAAATGTAGCCCTCTTAGGCAGGCATGTGCTCACAGGTCACAGGCCCAGCACCAAGTAGGGAACCGGGGAGACTTCTAAACAACTCTCCCTTCCAGCCTCTCAGCCCCACACTCCCCATTCCCACCCTTCCCACCCCACCCGCCAAGAGCTGTTCCAGCAGGGGGCCACAGTGACTACAGAGGGGTACCCTGTCCCCCATTGCCACCCGGTCCCCCCCCACCCCAAGAGCTGTTCCGACAGGGGGCCATGGTGACTAAAGAGGGGTACCCTGCCCCCCATTCCCACCCTCCCCCTCTGGGAGCTGTTTTGGCAGGGAGTCACTGTGACTAGAGGGGTACCCTTCAAGGTGTGCTGGGATGGCACAAAAGCTGAACCACCAGCAAAAGGGGAAAAGGCAGATTAAGCCCTGCTTCTCCTACCTGGCTGCACATTAGGATCACCTGGGGGACTCTGGAAACCATGGCCCCACCTGGGCCGGGGTGAAGCGGAACCTCTGGGCATGGGCACTGGTGGTGGTAAAAGCACCACAGGGGATTCTCGAATGCATCAGGGCTGAGGCACCACTGAGCCCGCACTGGGAGGGCACGTGAGGTGCAGGGATGCTCACCTGTAGGCGGTTCCCAGGAGCAGGCTCAGGATTCCCACCACGTGTATGCCTCTTGCCAGGGGCCAAGAGGCCAAGCCCCAGGCACAGAGCCGCAGGAGGGTGTCCCACAGAATGCCTAGAGCAGAGGAGAGGAGAGAAACCTGGAGTCAGCCAGGCAGGGGATGACTTCTGGGCTACAGAAGAAGGAGCCACTCCAAGTCAAGGAGCAGAGAGTCACTCCCAGCACTGCTGCCCCACAGTGGCCCCCCCTCCACCTGCTCTGTCTCCCAAGTCCAGGTGGGTGGCACTGACCTGTCAACATGCTTGAGAAGAGCATGGCTGGGAAATAGTGGTGGAAGTAGAGGACCCGGCCCATCAGGAAGAACGGGAAGTAATGGAGTGTCCAGCCGAGCAGGACCTGGCCGCCTCCTCGCAGCAGGACCTGGGACAACCCTGGGCCCAAGCAGCATAGCCCAGTCAGAAGACAAGGAGTGGGCAGAGATTCCAGCCTCTGGTCCAGCTCTGCCCCTTCCTTGCTGTGTGACCTTGAATATGTCACATCACCTCATTGGACCAACCCAAACCACGCTATAGAAACTGGAAGAAGAGAAGCTGGAGCTCGAGAACTCTGGTCAGGGTCCAGCCTAGTGAGGCCTGGGCACCAATGGCAGGTGCACCAAGCACCAGCAGGAGGCAGCCCAGCCTCTAAAGAAACCCCTCTACACCTGCAGACAAGCTTCACTCCCTACTTCCACCTCCCACATCTTTGCTGCCACACAGATCTTTGCAGCGGCAGACAAGTGCTAAGGTGAGGTCCCAGGTGAGGATGGAGTGAGGGGGTGTCTGGGACTATGACTGTTCAGACAGACAGCTGCAGAGGCAAAAGGGCCTGTGTGACTGTCTCAGGTGCTTTGGCCCATGGTCTGGCAGCCAAAGTTACCAAGAACAGCACTGGGATGGGAACCCAATAACCCTGGAGGCTCCTCTCTAGCCCAGAGAGGACAGGGCCATGGAACAAGGAGGTGACAGAAGAGAAAAGATGGGCAGCTGTGTACATAGCATGGGGCTAAAAGTGAGGGCGGTGGAGTCAGACTGCACGGGTTTGAGCCTCAGCTCTATCACTTACTAGCTGTATATCCTGGGACAAGTTTCTTAATCTCTTGGTTCCTTGGTTTCCTAATCCATAAAATGGGGTCATAATAACCAACGCTCTAGGGTTGTTGGGAGGAAGTAAAGTGTTTAACACAGCACTGGGTACTTGGGGGTCGTTAGCTTTCAAAAGCAAAGGATAAGGGAAGGTGTGGGGTGGTAAACATAAAGGATGGCCCATCAGCAGGCAGCCGGCCCTCCCCAGGGGTGCAGGCACTCTGCCACCACCAGGTCAGGGGAGGGAGAGCCCCAGGGGACCTGACCTGCAACCTCCGCTGGCAGCTGTGCCCCTCTCTGTATGGCTATAGCAATGATGCTCCCTGAGAGGAGGTAGAGGGCGATGCTCAACAGATTCAGCCACCAAACCACCTGTGCAGAAATGGGAACGGGCAGATGAGAACGCAGCCACTTTCCATGGGCAAGTGCTCCAGGGCCTGAGCCAGGAATGTTTAGGCACTCACCGGGTTGCCAAGCAGATAGACTCGGAAGTCTGTGTCATTGATCCCTGAGAAGCGTAGGCCCTGTGGAACGGAGATCACCCTGCTGACCCAGGTCCAGCTCATCCCTGGCCACACCCATTAGGGGGAGGAAGATGGTCTTCCTTCACAGATAGGGAGGCTGGACATGAGGCTCAGGCTATGCAAATTCTACATGAGCTCTCTGGGAAGGCAGGGTCAGAATTAGGGCAGAAAACAGAGCCCTGCCCCTGGCCAACCCATCCCAGGATCTGCCTGCCCTCGCACACCCACCCCCACCTCCACTGGTCTCCCTGGTCTCGTTCTTGGCTCCATTTCCTGGGAGGAGCCCCAGCCTCGGATCCTACCTGATAGTTGATAGGCCAGTGCCAGGGTTTGGATGTGAACTCATTGTCCTTGGGTTTGAGGCCACTGTTCCCCTGCATGAAGGTAGCAAAGAAAAGTCAGTCAAGACAGAGATCTGGAGGGCTGACAGAAATGTGAGGCCCCGGTTTCTCTGATACAGGGCCCAGTGCCGAGCAGAACCTTCTCTTCTTCCCTTCCCTTGCAGAGAAGAATCAGGGATCATTTGCAGCCACCGCCTGCCTGCCTACAACAATTGCTTTACTTCTCCCAAACAAGCCTCCATTTCCCATAAGGGGTCCATTCCAACCCTCTACGCTAGGGAAAAAGAAGGGAAAGGGGAATGAGGAAATTGTTCCAATGGGCACAAAATATATATCCATCTGCCAAGCCAAGGACAAGGCGTGAAAATGATGGGGAAGGGGATATAAAACGAGGCTTACTGCCAGGTGCAGTGGCTCATGCCTGTAATCCCAGCAGTTTGGGAGGCCGAGGTGGGTGGATCACCTGAGGTCAGGAGTTCGAGACCAGCCTGGCCAACATGGTGAAACCCCATCTTTACTAAAATATACAAAAAATTAGCTGAGCATAGTGGTGGGTACCTGTAATCCCAGCCACTTGGGAGGCTGAGGCAGGAGAATCACTTGAACCCGAGAGGTGGAGGTTGCAGTGAGCCGAGATCACACCATTGCACTCCAACCTGGGCAAAAAGACCAAGACTCAGTCTCAAAAAAAATTTAAAAAATTTTTTAAAAAATAAGGCTTACTTATTTGTTCCCTTCAGGGGCCAATTTCAAACAGAAAAGCGGAAACTCTCATGCATGGCTAGACTTGGAAGAGGTTACTTTAGTCTAGTGTTTCTCCACCATTTTTTCCCACTACTGCCCCTCTACCAGGAGCGTTTCTAGACAAGTTTTTCCCTAAACATCCTCCATGACATTTTAATACTTTATACTATACATCTCACTTGTGCTTTATATATAAAAAATAAGATTTTTTTTTCCCCCTCCAAGAACACATTTCATCCACTGGGAGAGAAATCAACCCCAATGCATGCTTTGAAGGACCCAGACACAGCCTCCCTAATCCAGCAGCCAAGAACATCTGCTAACCTGTCTCTACAGGGCAAACCAGGTCTTTGCTAAAACAGGAAGGAGTAGGGTCAGGATCCGGGATTTTAACCACTAGGACTGGGGTCAGCCTCATCACTGGGACAGACTGAAAAGGCCTTTCCCCGGAAGGGGAGTCAGCTGCCATGACTTAGGCCGGAGCTTCTTCACCTCAGCACTCCCGACATTTGAAGCTGAAGAGTCTTTGTTGTGAGGACTGTCCTGTGCATTGTAGAGTGTTTAGCATTCCTGGCCTCCACTCACTGAATGCCAGTAGCACTCCTACCCTCAGCCCCTCGGTTTCCCAGCCAAAAATTTCTCCAGACAGAGCCAAAAGTCCCGAGAGGCAAAATCGCCCTCAACTGAGAACCACTGGTATAGCCTAAGAAAGATCCAGAAAGTTCAGTGGACTGCCACCCAGTGCCTTAGGAATCCAGTTCGTCAAGGGGATGGGAAGAGTTTACAGGCCTCTGCATGGTGGAGAGGTTGTGCCTCCAAGGTCAAAAGTGCACTGGGGGCATCAGACACAAAGGGGACAGCTGCACAGTCCCTGAGTCACTGTGGCCCTTTGAAGGACCTGGGAATGAGGAATGAATCATTCTGGACCCCTGGAGCAGTTGCTGAGGGAAACCAGTTCCTTCACATTGTACAGTTTGGTCCCAAACCCAAGGACTCCAGTCAGAACTGTACCAAGCCAAGGGAATCTTATTCACTACATTAAACTCTGAGAAATCCTGCTCTGTTGCTAAACTGAGAGAGAGAGGAAAGAAAAATCTGCAACCTTCACAGGCATATGTACTTGTAAGTTGTTCTCTATGGCTGAAATCTGGATGGGCTCATTCCTGCAACTGCACCAGGCAAGGCAGCCTTCTCCTCCAGGTCCCGGGCCACTACTCAGCCGGCAGAAAAGCCCCGCCCCCGCAGTTTCTGTAGTTTGGACTCAGTGTTCTCATCTCTTTCCCCTCCCTGACTCTTTGTTGGCCGAATAAGAAAGCTCTCCTATTTCCCTTTTCTTCTCTGACTCTACTTCTTAGATGATGAAAGACAAAATGAAACTCCTAGATTTAGTCTTAAAATTTGACCCAGGCCCAGAATGGTATTCTGACTGACAGGCACATGTTCAAAAGAGCTAAGCCGTCAGGCCACAGTGACAGCTACAAGCAGAGAGTCAGAGAGGAAGTGACCCAGAGATGCTTAATGTCAACTCATCACCTCCCAATGTGCAAAAATGACAAAATTTCAATTTTAAAAATTTAATCTGGTGAAATAAGTCAACTATATTTCCTGAGTACTGCTTACATAATCACTCCAGGGAAGTCCACTGGACAGTGGCTTACCAGGGGAAAAATAACAAGCGCTCCACCTCCCTGCAGTGCTGTGAGTAGAGGGATAATCACAGAGCTGGCTTGAGATAGTGATTCTTAAACATTATTCCTGCAGAACACAGGTTTTCCGTAAGCCAGAATAAGGGGCTCTTCCACTAAACAGCAGGATGACAGCCGGGGAAAATTTAAGCTAGTGAGTAGAATTTTCTCAATTTAAAGATTTCTTCTCTGAATTTTTCTTAAACCTTTGATGCTACAACTGCTGTCAGCCACTAATGATAGACAGCACAAACAATGTCTTCGAAAATCTTAAAAAAGAATCAACCATGCCCCGCCTAAGCAGTTTCTGTCCAGGAATATGAGTGGGCTCGTGGCTGGGATTTCATGCTGCATATAAACAACACACTCAAATTAGCTATCCATCCTAATTGATCCTGATTTCGTATGAAGGAATAAACTATCAGTATCTCATGATCTTCAACTAAGAGCACTATGATTTTCAGGGGCTCTGCCACTTGGACAGATTTACAGATCACTTAGAGGTGGAGGAGTGTAGTGGTAACTAGCAGTAACACTAAAAGCCTACCAGCCTGGCTCTGAGGGCTGGATCTCCCTCCTACACTTAGCTGTGTGATCCTGGGCAAGTTCCCCGACCTCTCTGTACCTCAGTTCCCTCTCCTGTAACTGGGAATGACAGCAACCTCCACATGATTGTAATAGTATCAGATGAGTTGATAAATGTACAGTGCTTCGCGTAGTGCCTGGCATGAGCTGTACAAGCATTCACTGGTATCATCAACATCACCACCATCCTCATTCTGTGGTGAGGGAAATGCCTTTGAGGATCACGGAAAGCCGTAGTGAAGACGCTTTCAAATTCCTCCACAAGGGGGAATGGATCTGTAGCATGGCATTGACTTGTGATCCAAAGTCATGGCTGCCCAAAAGCTCTTAGAGATGCCATGAAATGAGAAGGGGACACATACCCGGATCATGACCATGTGGGATTCTAGCAAGATCTCAGGAAAACTGGGCTGCAGCACATTCAGGCTGATGTTTGGCACTAGGGGAAAAAAAGGCAGGAGAAAAGCCTTTGTCATACATTCTCTCCTCAGTCTGTCCATGGTACCCACATTCCCACCAGAATACAAGTGCAGCCTTGCTGACAAGTTGACAACTGTTGAAGAGACAGAAGAAAGCTTGGCCCAATTCTTAATCATTTACTTAGCTGTATGAAGAACTCATCAGGCATTCTGAGAAATGCAAAGGAAACAGACAAGGAGGCTTCACCTGCTTGGTGCTCCGACAGCTCTCAGCACCATCACTTTTCACTGTGGTACTGGCTCAAATGCTGCTCTCCTATTAGGCATAAGAGACAGCTGCACAGCCCCCAGTCACTGTGGCCCTTTGAAGGGCCTGGGAATGAGGAATGAATCATTCTGGACCCCTGGAGCAGCTGCTGTCGGGACAAGGACCAAGTCTGTCTCCTCACCAATATGTCCACAGGGCCCCACATGGTTCCTGGCATACTTGATACAAGAGTTGTTGAATTAGTTGATTAGTGGGTTTGGCTAGATTGGGTGGGAAGAACAAAATGAAGGCACACATAAGCTTGAGGTGGGTAGTTTAGGAAAACAGATGATGAATCCAAATACTTTCTGAGTTGAGGCTGACAATGCAGTGGAAATATCAAATTGGAGCTTGGGTGTAGAGAGTGGGGCACAGATTAGGGTTGTGCTTGTCACTTTCTATAAAAGCGTTGGCTGGATATGTGGGGGACGGGGAAGCGACTCTACACTGAGGCATAAAGGGAAAGTACCAGCTTGCTCCAAGCCTGGAGGCTGGGGAGGTGCCCATGGTGCAGGGGAGAGAGGAGCCCAGAGGCAGACGAGACAGATGGACCTGCAGATGGCCACTGGCCACTTTACAGAGAGGAGTATACGGAGGGAGTAGATGAGAAGGAAAGGAGTATGCTATGTAGGTACAGACAACTCCAGAAAGAGAGTGTTAACAAGGAACAAACAGCAGCAAGTTGAAGGGATAGCAGAGTCTACAAACGCTTACTTTTCTAAGATAAGGGTTTCTTATACATGTTTCCCTCCAGAGCCAGCCCAGAAAGTGACCTCACTCACACTTGGGATTGATATGGTCCTCCACATTCCAGATGGAGTTGAGGGTTTCTTTCAGGTATGGGGTGCAAGTAACTTCCAACTGCTCCCAGCCCCTGTGAAAAGCAGAAGTCACAGATGTCTCTCAGAAGACCTGAAATCCAGCAGAGAGCAGCACTGTCTTCTGCTCTTAAATCCACAGGCTCCTTCTCTTTTCCATCTGGTGGCCATTATTTCTTCATGTTCCATGTTGGACAACTATCCTAGGATAGTCCAGCATACAGTAGTCCCATTTTTGAAAGAGACATAGACCCAGAGAGTTATTAGCACCAGCCAGATGTGAAAATGTTGAACTATCAGAACACATAAAACACCAAAGCTGCCCTGGAGTTCTGTGCTCCATAATACACCCGATGCCTACTCTCCCTCCATCTGCCACTAAGAACAAGCAGACAGGAGGCGAACACGGGAAAACGAAAGCTTCTGGCATACTCCTTGTAGAGTGAAAGGAAAATCAGGACCCTTGATTGGGAAGCAAAACCCTAGAGACTTACCACTTGGGCAGAACCTTTCCCGAGGAGCCCAGGACACAACCTGTGACCAAATGGATGAGGCGAATTCGACTTCTCAGCACTTTGATCCGGTTTCCAAATTTTCTGTTTACAACCTCAATCCGCCAGAAATCATTTGAGTCCCCTGTTCCATTCTGCCACAAAAGCCAAGAAAAAAATACAAAGAAAGTGAGGGGACTTTAGAGAAAATATGTCAGAAAGGGAAATGGCCACCTTCAGATGCCACCATGTTATGAAGGTCAAAGACCAAATCGGGCTCAATGATAGAGATGGGCGAGGTTACAAGAAGGCCAAAGAAATATCCCAGGTGACTGGCATTGTCCCAAAACTCACTATTACAACCAAAACACAGTAGTATGACCCCTGGAACCAGAAGTCCAACTCTTCACTTCATAGAACTGGAGTTCAAGTTCTAAATAGATGTCTTTGCCCTTCAGTCAAACTCAAGACATCACTCTGAGCCAACAGAAACAGATCTGGGCCATTTGCATCCATTACCTTGGCCATCTAGGTACTCACTCATCTAAGCCAGAAAGGTCTGGCCTGGCTATCGCACTTTGGAAATTAAGACGTGTATGTCTAATTCTTCTCAGAAGATGCCCACAAAGAAGATGAGAACGTTCACAGTCTTGACCTAGCACAATGTGGGATAAGCAAACAGAAAGAGGGCTGGGAAATCCACCTGAAGGCCAGAATCTGTATACAGTTTTCCACTAGTAGTTTTTGTCTTCAGTTACTCCCAAAGCCATAAGTACTCATAGAGCTTTTACTCTATTCGCTGCATCTCTTTGAGGTAGTAAAATACAAAAGCTGCAGAACAGGGAAGTGATACTTAAAATAAAGCCAATGAGAACTTGGGATCTGGCAAAAGATAAACATACATGTTCATCGGGGGCCATATTGTGGGTCCTTGTTTTCTATGTCCAAGGTGATTTTAAAAAAGATCCAAATAGTATTCATATTTGATATTTATTAAGTATCAAAACATGTAAATGGCATGCTTATTATGTGAGGAGAGAGATGGAGACAAACAGACTTCATAGGCTGCTTTTCCCACAGCAAGCCTAGCCAAAAAGCTCCCAAATGTTAAGAGACTCCCTGTGCAGCCTCTTATCCTCAGGAACATTCCAGAATTCTGGGGAGGAGATATCCCACCACACAACCCTGAGCCAAGGCCCATAACTTTTTACATCCTGCTCACACCCCCGTTGCTTACTTACTATGCCATAGCCGGTGACCTGATAGTGCTTCCGGGTCAGGGGGGCCTCATGATAGTGACTGTGCAAGTTCCGGGAAGTTCTAGAAGTTAGAAGAGAGAAGTGTCATTATCCTATAGAAAGAAGATGCGCAACATTTCTTCTTTTACCAAGGATGTTTAGAGTCATCTGTCAGGATAAGAAAAATTAGAATCTGAACTATTAAATCCAACATATCAGGAACTTTTTCCTATTTATTCTCAAGAAATATCGTGAGAACTGGAGAAGAGATGAGCCCAAACCAGGAGAGACAGATGGTAGGAGCACTGGACGGCATGCCAAGAAAGGGGCTAACTTTAGGTGCTGGCAGGGAGGTGGGGGGCGACTTTCACACATTTAGTAGCTTTGAAGCACTTAGCTTGCCTGACTTAGAAGGCAGGTTTGAGGAGAGGAAAAATTAAAACTTGTAATCTGCATGGCCTGAGCTAGGTAACCTCCTCACTGCCACTTACTCTTTCTGCTCCCATCACCAGGTTTTTTAAGTAGACATCTGTGGAGGATGAGAGGGGTTTAATTTAGCTTTTATTTATTTAGTTTTATGTAACAACTCTCACTTTTATCTGGAACGAGTAATAAATGTTCATTATAAAATTTGTGAAAATTTGCAAAAGTAAAATTTAATTACAATAAATTTTTATTAATGACAAAATGAAATTTATTTAATAAAATAAAAATTTTAAGTATTCAAAATCCAGCTGACTCGGGAAAAAACCACAGCTAATTGCTTCTCTCTCTACACACACACACACACACACACACACACACACACACACACCCTTGATATTTAAAAATTTGTATCCGATAATTCCAGTCTATGAAATGTTTACGGGTCTGCTCCTGCTCTCTGTCGTTTCAGCTTGTTCTTGCACACAGTGCCCTATTTTCTTGTGTGCTTTGTTACTTTTGGGCATGTACTATTGTCACTAAAAAACTATTCATGGGAACGAATGACAGTGTCTTTCTCCAAAGAGGGCTTACATTTGCTTTTAGCTATGTACCTAGGAGACATGACCAATCTAGGATCATGTTCATTTAAATTCATGGCTTGGAGATTCTGAGATCATCCGGGTGACATGAATTTGAGCCCCAAGTTCATGTGAGGATCAAATGGTAGTTCCAACTTCTCAGGAACTAAGGACAGTTCACTACCCAACCCGCAACACTTAGCTGGGTCCTAAAGTAATTTTTCCTGGGCACAGGTGCATAGGGCAGATTTACCCTTACCCTAAGCCTTTGGGGGTTCCAAATACGGGGAAGGATAACTTAATAAATTTACCACTTTGGGTGAGCCTAGAGGTTTGACTTTAAAACCTCTTCTCTCAGGAGGCAGCCAAAAGTCAAGATTGTGGGATCAAAGCAAAAGTGGCTTCAGTGTCTCACTTATTTCTCTGGATTCCTCATTTCACTTAGGTTTTGGCCTGGTAACTCTTTAATATCTTGTCAGCCTTTTTATGCTCTTAAGAAGTCTTTATATTATTCCAGCATTTTTAGTCATTTTCAGTGAGAACACTGGTTAAATAAGCTAGCTTGCCATATTCTCAGAAACAGACTCCTACGTCTTTCTAAAGGCAGCCACTTAAGAAGCAGCTTTGGGAGCCGGGTGTGATGGCTCATGCCTGTAATAGCAACCATTTGGGAGGCTGAAGCGGGAGGATCGCTTGAGCGCAGGACTCTGAGGCCAGCCTGGGTAACATAGTGAGACTCTGTCTCAAAAAAAGAAAAAAAAAAAAGCAGCAGCAGCCTTGGGCAACTGAAATTTTCCTCTAGGAAATGGGAAACTGAAAGGTCCCCAGTAGGCAGGGGCAAAGGCTGGCCTGCAATTTCATCACCTTCATAAAATGCTTCTCCTATTCTCGCACTGCAGCCTTTCTCCATTGAACAGAGCCTTATCAAAATCTAACTTCTGTTTACTTCTTAAAATAACTGCCTCCCCTTGGTGCCCATACCATTTATTTATCCAAACTGCAAATAGACTTACTCTTTGTGTTCTAGTCGAATAATGTCTCCATGTCTTACAAACTCCACTGGGAAGGAAGGGTCTAGGGGATCTGCCAAAAATAAACAAGGATTGATATCCAAAATCACTTACCAGGCTAGTATTAATCAAGGGCTGACTGGTAAAGGGTTACAGTACCATGTGGTGTCTGCTAGAGGTATAACCAGGTACTCTCAGACCAGACAGGAAGGACCCCTAAATTGTCTTGGGGGACTAGAGAAGGCTGTCCCAGAGACAATGCTTCAAAAGTCTCCTAAAGGAAAGGGAGGATTTTGTCAGGTGGACAAGCGGGGAAAAGGCACTAGAAGTGTGAAAGGAGAAAACTTCTGGCCAGGCACAGTGGCTCACGCCTGTAATCCTAGCCCTTTGGGAGACTGAGGCGGGCAGATCACCTGAGGTCAGGAATTTGAGACAAGCCTGGCCAACATGGTGAAACCCCATCTCTACTAAAAATACAAAAAATAGCCAGGCGTGGTGGCGCACACCTGTAGTCCCAGCCACTCGAGAGGCTGAGGCAGGGGAATTGCTTGAACTCGGGAGGCGGAGGTTGCAGTGAGCCAAGATTGTGCCACTACATTCCAGCCTGGGTGACAAAGCAAGACTTTGTCTCCAAAAAAAAAAAAAAAAGAAGAAGAAGAAGAAGAAAAACTCCTTTGATGAATAGCAAATGGGTTTCATACTGTAAGGGTGGGTGGAGTGGGGGAGAGTGGGAACAGATGAGGCTATGAACGAGTGTGGCCAGACTGCATATTCCAGGTGGGAATGTGGCCTTTACCCAATAGGCACTGAAGCCCCACTGGAGCTTAAGCTGGGAAGCTAAATAATAAGACTTTAGTAGTAATAATAGTCTTCTAAAAAGTAATTCCATACAAATGACCACTTGCCCAACTCTCCTCAAAATCAAATAAACCCTGACAATTGTGCCAGCGAGTATCTTGTCTTTGGCAATAAACTTGCTAAATGTGAGGCGAAGAATGATGAAATGATTAAGGGACTACTTCTGTATCATCTCAAAGTCAAGACCAATCAGGATCTAGAAAGGTGATGACATGGAAAAGGAGCTGGCAGTAATCATAGCAATACAGAATGGATCCTTGCAAATTTCTGTCCCAAACAGTGAGATACCAACACACTATAAATAGATCAAAGTCAGGAAAGATAAATTTGCCAGTGCAAATCACTGGCTCTCGAGAGAATCAGAGAACTCAACTGAAGAGATGCCCATTTCCATGCTGCCTGTTAGGGTCTCTTAAGAGCATTAATTAGCAAGATGACAAATCAAATAAGTCAATAGGGAGTGAGGCTTTATTTCATATGCATTTGGTGGGGAGGGGCATTTATAGCCATCAAGAACACAAAGACCGTAGTCTATAAAGCTCCCACAAAATCCTTAATCACTTCGATGAAATGCAACCATCTTAACTCAGAAGTCACAATGGAATAACAGACTAAGAATGTCAAAGACTTGGTTCATGACCACACGATGGAAGTAAAACTGGTCTTCCCTCGGAACTCCTCACTGCGATAGAACACTCACATTTGGCCTGCTGAATTAATCAATATCCATTATAAAGGTATAGAAATAGACTCTGCCCAACGGTGTCATAATTTATCCTACTAAGGAGCAGAATGCAAAGTGGTTGTATACACCACGTTTCTAGACTACATGGCAATAACAGGAGGTGGATTTAGGTGAGTAGCTGCCCATTTCTCCACAAAGGCCCAGGAGCAGCTAAGCTGGGATAGGCTAAGCCAGGTGGGATTTGCTGAGGAGTCACAGAGATGCCTGTGGCACAAGACCGTCAGCAGAGATGATAGGCTCGGAAGGTGAGTGTAAGATACCCTCTGTTCTCTCCTCAGCTGCAGCAGAGGCACAGCCTGCAGGTAGCTAGCTGTCTGACCAAAGAAAGGAAGATCTGGCTCCAGTCTTACTCTTGTCATAAAGCCCTGAGAGTCCGATAGGTGTGCTGCAGAGTTACTTCACCCAGGCCAGTTGGGAACAGATCAGCAGGCATTGAGTCACATCCCAGGAATTAGTCTAGACAAATTCCAGTCACAGGACTAGTAGCCCCTCAGATCTCCAACTGACTGACTCAGGCCAGGGCTGAGCAGTGGGCAGAATTCTATCTTATCAAGACAACTTGAGCCGCACCACATGCTACAGTGTGCAATGTTTGGTGTGCTCTATGTCAGAAATGAGAGCAGCAGCCAGGTGCCCTCAGCTGGGGCCACTCACCAGCCCCCAGTGGCATGCTCAAGTAACCTCTACTTGGATTAAATCTGGGCTCTGCTATCTGTCTTCAAAATGACAGCTCTAAGAGCAAGTTCTTACCTGTTTTGTTCAATGCTTATCCCCTATGCCAACAACAATGCTTGGAACACAGTAGGTGCTTAATAAATAATAACCAAAAGGATAATTAAGTAAAGGTGTCAAAGATGGTTAGCAAAGCCCATCTCAGGATCATTCTTTTGCAGGAATGAGAAATCTTAAGGAGGGCTGAGAGAGAGTAACAGCACAAGAAGCATCAGTCTCTGACCACATTACCTGAATTTGTGTTATGTTTCTTGATAATCCACAGGTTGTTGTAGTCCTTGTGCAAATAGGTGGTGACCTGGGTGGGGGGTGGGGGCGGAGGGAAGAGGAGGCAGGAGGGAGAATACCATCACTATCAGCACAGCTGGCCAAGAACAATCAACATCAAACCAACATTGCTTAAGCCAATTTCAGAATCCCCAGCCACCAACCTGAGGGGCCATGTTTCCCAATGGGGCTCAGATGTAGCATTGGTAAGTGAAATTCTCTCCTTCCTTCTGCATTTAGAGGCCTTGTCTCACAAGAGCCTTTTTGTCTCTTTGTATCTTTCTGCATCTTGTCCTAAAAGTTCTATCCAGCCTTCTAGAGGGAGGAACCATGAGGCCTTATATAACCGGTTGACTTCAGCACAAAAACAGGATGAGGATTTAAGTGCATTTTCAAAGTAATTAAAGCCGGGTGTGGTGGCTCATGCCTGTAATCCCAGCACTTTGAGAAGCCGGGGTGGGCATATCACCTGAGGTCAGGAGTTTGAGATCAGCCTGGCCAACATGGTAAAACCCTGTCTTCACTAAAAATACAAAAATTAGCCGGGCATGGTATGCACCTATAATCCCAACTACTCGGGAGGTTAAGGCCAGAGAATCGCTTGAACCCAGGAGGTGGAGGTTGCAGTGAGCCAAGATCACACCACTGCAATACAGCCTGGGCAACAGAGCAAGACTCCATCTAGGAAAAAAAAAAGTAATTAAGATCATGCCTCAAACTTTCTAAATGAAAAATTCGTGCTATTATATTTTCTATAATGTGGCCAAATGAAACTAAAAAGCTCCACAGATATCCTGTCCTAGAATTTAACTCACATTTTATACAAAAAATCTGGAAACAGTATGATTGTCTAGTAACAGAAAAATAGTTAACATGATAGTATGTCCTGGGATAGAATATTATACAGCCATAAAAAATGTTTCAGAGCATTTTTTAGCAACATGGGAGAAGACTCATGAAATGCTGATGCTGAAAATGGCTACCATTTATTACCAGGCACTGTTCTAAGCATTGGGCAAGTCTTTTTTTTTTTTTTGAGATAGAGTCTCGCCTTGTCGCCCAGGCTGGAGTACAGTGGCACAATCTTGGCTCACTGCAAGCTCTGCCTCCTGGGTTCATGTCATTCTCCTGCCTCAGCCTCCTGAGTAGCTGGGACTACAGGCGCCTGCCACCACGCCTGGCTAATTTTTTGTACTTTTAGTAGAGACGGGGTTTCACCGTGTTAGCCAGGATGGTCTTGATCTCCTGACCTCGTGATCTGCCTGCCTTGGCCTCCCAAAGTGCTGGGATTACAGGCGCGAGGCACTGCGCTGGGCTGATTTTTTTTTTTTTTTTTTTTTTTAGTAGAGATGGGGTTTTGCCGTGTTAGCCAGGATGGCCTCGATCTCCTGAGCTTGTACAAGATCCGCCCACCTTGGCCTCCCACAGTGCTGGGATTACAGGCGTGAGCCACCGCTCCTGGCTGGGCAAGTCTTCTCTCATTTAACCATCATCACAGCTCTATGCCGTAGTATGGTTATCCCCACATTACTTACAAGGAAACTGACGTTAAGTAATTTGCTCAAGGTCACACAGCTCATGAGTTGGGGAGACAGAATTCAAACCAGGGCAGCTAAATAAATGCTCCCAGGATAGAGACTAGATATATCCAATTATGCCAATTATGTAAACAAGTACAGAACTCTTACAAATGAGTTTTTATAACCCCAACTGGACAAAATATGACCAATTTATAGTCATATGCCACATAAAGACATTTTGGTCAACAACAAACTGCATATACGATGGTTGTCCCATAAGATTATAATACCATATTTTTACTACACCATTTCCATGTTTAGATATGTTTAAGTTAATACAAATACTTACCATTGTGTTCCACGGTGTTCCAACTGCCTGCAGTGTTCAGTACAGTGACATGCTATACAGGTTTGTAGTCTAGGAGCAATTAGCTATACCATGTAGCTTAGGTGTGTGGTAGGCGGTACCACCTAGGTTTGTGTAAGTACATACTACGATGTTAACGATCAAATCACCTAATGACCTATTTCTCAGACAATATCCCCCCGATGCATGACTGTACTTACAACGAGATTCAGAATTAGCATTGAGGGGAAAAATTATTTTGCCTGCATTATGACTGCTTCTTTTGAGTGGTATTTGCTTCATTCCTCGGGAAAAAAAAAAAAAAAAGAACTTAGGGATAATGGTATTAAGGATACACAAGAAGCTAAAAAGTTTTGGTGCTCATAAAGAAATTAAAATGAATTCTACATTCCTGAGGAAAAGTTCGATATCGTCCATCCAGCCTGGATTTGCTCAAGGAAGTTAAGGTTCTATGATGCTCATGTGTGTACTCTGTGTAGATATGTGGTAGGAGAGCAGTCTTTGAGTGCCTGTTTTACAATGTGTAGATGTGTGGTAGCAGAGCAGTCTTTGTGTGTCTGTTTTACAACAGCAATTACGATTAAAATTCCTACAAGAAAAATTATTTCTTTATCATGAGTACAGTCCATGGCCCCTTTTCCCATTGAAATGTTTGTTTTGACAATGGAGATTTTTATACCATGAGATTTCCTAAGAACACAGGTATCCAATTATAGTGGAATGTTGTACGTTAAAACATTTAGATAAACACTTAATCTTCTGGGATTACATGTCATTTTTGTTTTCTTTTTCATACTTTTCTATATTTTCCAATTTTATAAATGCTATGCTTTAAAAACATTCTAAAATAAAGACCTAGACCTGTTAACAGGACATTCAACTGCAGGGCAGGAAGGGCCACTGGAGATAATATTTAGTCCAATCCCCTCAATTTACAGATGAGGAAACAGACTGAAAGGCCAAGTGATCTGGTCAATGACAAAGCCAGACACTTTTGTCCCTTGGCCCTACGCACTTTCCCTATACCACCATCACGTTTCACACCTCCACACATGGGCTCTAAGTACATAACACTAGCTTAACAGAGCCTTTCAGAGTTTGGCCTTTCTCTCCCTTTGCACAGTGTAGATGTTCCGGTCACCGTGTCTGTAACTGTAGTGTCTTCTACATGACACCTGCAGCAATTTATCACCACATGAGAACACAGTACAGCTAGGTGTCTCTGCCCTGGGTGTACATGACTTAGAATCATCTGGACAGCTTAAAACCAAACCAAAAATGCATAATGCATGGGCCTCATCCTAGATCAATGAAATCATCATCTCTGCAGTGGAGCCTAGGCATCAGAATTTTTAAAAATCTCTCCGTTGATTCTAAGTGCAGCCAGGGCTGAAAACCACTGGGTCAGACATGAATGGAGAATTAAGGATAAGAAATTGACACTAAAACCCAATACCCTGTAATATGGTTTGGCTCTATATCCCCACCCAATTTTCATCTTGTAGCTCCCATAATTCCCACGTGTTGTGGGAGGGACCCGGTGGGAGATGACTGAATCATGAGGCCGGGTCTTTTCTGTGCTGTTCTTGTGGTAGTGAATGGATCTCACGAGATCTGATGGTTTTTTTTTTTTATTTTTTTGAGACACAGTCTCACTCTTTCACCCGGGCTAGAATGCAGTGGCGCAATCTCAGATCACTGCAACCTCCACCTGCCCGGTTCAAGTGATTCTCCTGCCTCAGTCTCCTGAGTAGCTGGCATTACTGGCGGGTGTCACCAAGCCCGGGTAATTTTTTTGTATTTTTAGGAGAGAGGGGGTTTCACCATATTGGCCAGGCTGGTCTCAAACTCCTGACCTAATGTGATCTGCCCACCTCAGCCTCCCAAAGTGCTGTGATTACAGGCGTAAGCCACTGCACCTGGCCAGAGATCTGATGGTTTTAAAAACAGGATTTTCTCTGCACAAGCTCTCTCTTTGGCTGCCGCCATCCACATAAGATGTGACTTGCTCCTCCTTGCCTTCCACCAGGGTTGTGAGGCCTCCCTAGCCACGTGGAACTGTAAGTCCAATTAAACCTCTTTCTTGTAAATTGCCCAGTCTCAGGTATGTCTTTATCAGCAGCGTGAAATCGAACTACTACACCCTTGTCACTTTCTAGCAACTAAAAGGGAAATAAAAACAAAGCATTTGGAGAGGCACAACTTTTTGCAAAGTACAAATCTTTGTAAAGATTCCATGCTTTTTGCCTCTGTTCACTGTCCTTTGTCATAATTATTGCCTCCAAACTGGTTCCCTGTGAGCTATCACATTCCCACTAAAGTTATCTTTCTAAACTAGAGAGCTAATCATAATCATAATAATTTTTATTGGCTCCCTAATGTCTACGGAGCAAAGTCAAATCTACTATAACACAGGCCTCTCTCCAATATGGCCCCACCAACCTCTTCAGCATCCTGCTTCTCCCTCTCAGGCACCATACACTGCAGCCACACGAACACTCCTTCACAGTGTCGCTCACTCATTCAGATGATACTCACATGGCTAGTCTCTCATAAGCACTTCACATTGTTATCTCATTTAATCCTCACAACTGCCCTACAATGGAGAGAGGTACTACTTATTTTCCCCAACTTAAAGAAGAGGATACAGGCCAGGTGCGGTGGCTCACGCCTGTAATCCCAGTACTTTGGGAGGCCAAGGCGGGCAGATCACAAGGTCAGGAGATCAAGATCACCCTGGCTAACACGGTGAAACCCCATCTCTACTAAAAATACAAAAAAATTAGCCGGGCATGGTGGCAGGCGCCTGTAGTCCCAGCTACTCAGGAGGCTGAGGCAGAAGAATGGCGTGAACCCGGGAGGCGGAGCTTGCAGTGAGCCGAGATCGCGCCACCGCACTCCAGCCTGTGTGACAGAGTGAAACTCTGTCTCAAAAAAAAAAAAAAAAAAAAAAAAAAGAAGAGGATACTGAAGCACAAGAAGATGAATTTGTCCAAAGTGACACTCTATATGAAAGCAGGCTTCACACCCAGATCACCTAGTCTGGTTCCCAGGTCTGTGTTCATAACTACCACACTTTACTCATCACCCATCCCATTGCAGGCACTGTGCTAGGCAACTGAGCCTTCCAGGAGCTAGCAATCTTCCAGGAGCTAGTACCAAAGAGACGGCAGGAAGTAAGCACGCACAGTTCAATATGAGAAGGTTTACCACGTAGGCATGTGGAAGGTGCCATCAAGCCTCTCATCAGAGGGGCACCCCACCCAGTACCATGGAGAGGTGGGATACAGTGGTCACTGAAGATCACCTATGCTGATGCCTGGGGTTAGCCAGAGGAAAGAGAAGGGTGCAGGGCTAGGAAGAATGTTTCAAGCAGGGGGAATGGGATAAGCAAAGGACAGGAGGCAAGAGAGTGAACTGTTATGGTGAACAGCATTGCTGCCGTACAAGTCCACAAAAGGCTCACTGACCTGCTGCTGACGGGCACCAATGCCCTCGGGGTAGAGGTGCCTGTGCGAGTGCAGATAGCCGATGGCCATTCGGAGGTTCTTCACAGTAATCACAGAGCCGTAGGCCAGGTCTGGGAGGAAGGGAGACAGCAGAGGGGTGAGCTGCCACAGTGCTAGAGGCTGCCCCTGCCTGCGAGGAGCCTCAGAAGCCACAGGGCTCACTAACTCTCTGCGAGACTCCCCTGGGCCCCGGACTGAAGCCCAGCTGCCTTCTCACTCCCACGGAGCCGACTCAAGACAGAGTTCACCACAGGGCCCACGTACTCCCCTCCCTCCTGAGGACTTCAGAAGCAGCTGGTGTTAACACTGTCATTATCAAAGCACCATGTGTAACAGTAAAAGATGAAAAACAACTTGTCCTTCTCAAGGTCTCTACATGGATTCAATGGAATAAAGAAGGAAGAAGCATTTTCTGTCTTTGCCTGGAACATTCTCCAAGATACAACATTTTGACAAACCGTTTCTTTCACTCTATATTCTTTTGTGCCTTTTGAATCTAGTACCATATGGTTCAATGGTGTTTTGTTTTACTCTGAATTAAAAAACAAAAAACACAGAAAACCACTTCCCAAGAGCATCCCCTCCTCCTATAGGTCCTGAGTTATTGAGAAGCCTCTTTTCCTTACTATTGCCCCTCTTCCAATCTGCTGGAATGACCCGCTCCTGTTTTTCTTGGTTCATTCAGTGGACCAGAAGAATGTATTGATTACACAGTGGATCCAAAGGTGGAGGAGGCCTGCCTGTGGCCTGGAAGAGCCCTGTCTACCAGGTTTCACACACTGACAAGTACAGGATGGTGGGCAAGTGCCCCACAAAGGCATGACGATGTGTCACACAGTGGGAGTGGTGGGAACTCAGAACAGGACAAATTCTCTCCCGGGGAGTAAAGAGAGGACGACTCATCGAAGAGATGACAGCTGAGCTAGGCCTTTAAATAATGAGCAGGAATTTGCTAAACTCCACAGTTGTGTTCTTCTGAGTTCTCAGGCAGGCCAACCTCAACAGCCCTACACACGGCTGACCACCTTTATTTCTTGAAATCCTCTCTGTTCCCGCTTCTCGACCACACGCTCCCTCGAGGGCTGCTCCTCCGCAGCCTCCTCTCCTAATTCCTCCTCCGCTTGCATTCCCCAGTGATCTGACCTCAGCCCTCTTCTTTTCCTCTTTCTACAGTTTCCTTACAAATCACAGCTATTGCTACAGCATCAATTACCTTTTTACTTGGCTGATTCCTCCTTTGAAAGCATCAGCCCCAAAGCCCACTGGCCCCATGGCACCAATTTCCCCAAGCAGCTCACTGTCAAGCCCTCTAGTGTGGAATTCAGTATCTGCTCTTCCAACCCAACTTCTTCTCCTGCTTCCCTATTTCTCATTCTTCCCAGCCTGGGAGAGTCTGCTATATTTTAGGCACTGTGCAAAGCTCTGGAAAGACTAAAATGAGTAAGACACAGTCTCTGCCTCCAGGAAGCAATCACCTGCACTCAAGTCCTTAGTGACATCTTTCTTCCTCCCTTGCTATGTCCAGATCTCCCTTACATACGCCCATCTGCCTTACCCTGTGGCTGCCCCACCATGTCCAGCTCAGGTCCCTGCAATAGCTTCCCAGAGGGCTTCTCCTGCCTGCAATCCTGTCCTCTCCCCAGCCAGCCTCAACTCTCCCACCCATGTCATCTCCCTACAGCACAGCCTTCCGGGCCTCCTGGCTGCTCAAAGACCTCCACTAGGTCTCCACGGCCTGTTTGAGGAAGTCAAATACTTCATCCAGACACCTCAAACCCTCATAGTCTGGGCCCAACCTAACTTTTCACATTTATCTTCCAGTAGTTTTCTGCATATAACCTGTGCCTTCAGTTTTACTCTGTCCTCGGCTTTGATCATGTTCCCTCCTGTCTGAGATGCCCTCTCCTCTATCTGTTGAAAGCCACACATCCTTCCAGGGCCTGACTCCAAGGCAACCCACATCATGTGCCTCTGATGCCCTCAACCACCCAGCAGCCGTGCTCCTTCACGCCTGTGAATCCCCAGAGCTGTGCTCCGTCTTTATGTACTTAACGCCTCCAGTCACACCGTGTGGAGCTCCCCTACACCAGGCTCCATCTCTGGAGGGTGAGCACACACTCCACTACCATCTGTCGTAGGCGAATGGACGCGACACTCAGAAAGCGGTGCAGGAAACTGACAACTGGCTCTGAAGGGCCTGGTGCTGTTACCAGATTCTCTCTGAGTGACCTTCCCTCAGAGCTGGCCTGGAGAGCCACAAAGGAGAAGTCATTCTTTAGGGTCACAGAGCTTGCTGCTCAGGATGTCTTCCTCTCCTCTGTCCTGATTCACTCTCGAGTATTTTTACTAGATCTAACTGGGTCTTTCTCCCACCGTGCCATCACAGGCTAAAATAACCCAAGCCATCATATTCGTCTTTTCCAATTCAACTCCCAGGAAGCCCCTCTGCCATCTACCTTTGTAAAGGCCCAGAGACACTCACGTTCAGGGATGGAAGCATTGTGCAGGTTGTTCCCTGAAAGCCGGGCCTGGAAGGCAGAACTGAAGAAACCGTCACCAGGGCCACTGTGGGAAGAGAAAGAGCAGAAGAGAGCCAAGTTAAAGGAGTGAAAATGTGATTTCCCAGGAGCGCTGGGAAGAGCTCTGCTCAGTTAGTTTAAGGGAAGTAGAATCAGATCATGGGACAGAGGTGGGTGATGGAGTTGGAGAAACTGGGGTCCAAATCCCAACTCAGCCACTTACTAGCTGTGTGACCTTGGGCAAGATAACCCTGTTTAGCCTTAGTTCCTCATTTATAAACTAGAGATTTAAAGAAACCCAGAGAAGTCGCAAGTGATTGTGGTTAAATGAGATAATGTACACAAAATGCAGAACACAGTTCCTAATTCTCAGTAGCTACTCATGAAGTGGGAGCTGTTGCTGCCGGTGTTATTGCTATTGTTATCCTCACTCCTACTGCACATCTTATTGTTGCCTATCCCTGCTAAGTACAGGGGACTCTGTTTAGAGATAAGGGACAATTTGGCTATAAGGAAAATAGCTTCTTCCTTCAGGTTAGGGTGCTGCCTTTCTGAGCCCTTAGCATACCCAAAGGATAGAATGTAGCAGGAAAGAAACAGGAAAAAGTCCCTGGGTCCCTCTCCTATCATTTTAACCACAGACCCAGAACATCACCCAGCCCCTCCACAGGCTTAAGGGCAAAAGGAAAACCAGAAGCAAGATGCTGCAAAGGCTCTGTCTGTACCTTTTACTCAGCACCATGAAGTGAACAGCAAAGGTGGCCGTGTAGAGAGCCAGGGGCAGCACTATGAGGCACAGGACACGAGCAGTCAGGTGTTTTCCCACAGTCACCTGCAAACAGAGGCCAGTGGGGGGTGCCAGGCACGTGAGACCTCATTATTCCTTATGCACTATGCATGCATTATATATAGATTTTAATGTGTAAGTCATAATCATAAAAAATGGCCAAGAGGAGAGGAGAATATGTGGAAACCCTAAGCCTTTCTATAACACCCACCACCCAAGCACTACACAAGATAAACATGGGCCAGCCCTCTGCTACTTCTCCAGGCTCTACACCCAAGACCCTAGCCTGTCACTGTGCCAAGGACAAGGCACTGCCTGCATCTGCAACATAGCTGCTCACCAGTCCCCTCCATGTTCCAGGGACACTGACCTCCTTGTACTTTCCCAGTGCTTCCTCTACTGTCCCAGCCCAACCCATCACATGGCTAATTATCTTCCCAGCTTCCTCCCAGAGGCCTTCCTGGATTGCCTGGGACTGGCCTAGTGCCCTTTTCTGTGTTCTCCCAGCACGCCTGGCTGACTATAACTGCCTGCTTCCTTATTTTTCTCTCTCCATTGACCCCAGAGGATGGGGACTATATTGTATTCATCTGTATATTTCAGCGCCTCACACACAGTGGATGGTCTTCACATATTTTCTGAATGAATAAATGAATAAGTGAATAAACTTGTTAGGAGTTGGTTCGGATGTGATGGAGCAGCACCACAGCAGAGTGATGGCCTGGGGCCAACCTAACCTGGGTGTGACTCCTAGATACACCTCTCACTCCCCATGGCCTTCGGGAAGTCATTACCTCTGTAGGTCTTCATTTCCTCATTTGAAAATCAGGGTAATAACTCCCTACCTCATAGGACTATTATGAGGGGTAAATGAGATAATGGAGGTAAAGCATTTCACATAGTGCCTGGCACAGAATCAGCCCTTAATAAATAATAAACCGTAAAGGCCCTTACTGGCCTCCAAATATGGAGGCTGTGGGTCAGGAAATGAAAATTGTGAGTTCAGACCAGGCTTGGTGGCTCACGTGTGTAATCCCCGCACTTTGGGAGGCCGAGGCGGGTGGATACCTTGAGGTCAGGAGTTTGAGAACAACCTGGCCAACACAGTAGAATCCCATCTCTACTAAAACTACAAAAATTAGCTGGGCATGGTGGCATGTGCCTGTAATCCCAGCTACTTGGGAGGCTGAGGCAAGAGAATCACTTGAGCCCAGGAGGCGGAGGTTGCAGTGAGCCAAGATCAGCTACTGCACTCCAGTCTGGGTAACAGAGCAAAACTCCATCTCAAAAAGAGAAAAAAAAAAAAAGGCAGACATTACAAAACAAATGCAAAAGGAGACTTCCAAGAATGTTAATCCATCCTCTCCCTTGAACCCTATCCAATCCTCAGCCAGGCCCACTCCTTGATGTCCTGCTGTCTGCGGAGGGTTGGGGATCCAGCCCACCTGGGACCCAGAACACAGCCACTCTGCCACCTGCAGCAGAGACAGAGAAGGCCACTGGCTCCTACTCAGCAACATCAGGGAGCAAAAACATTTCCACAGCAAACGCTTGGGTGCTCACCAATGAAAGACTGAGGTCTCCAAACAGGTACCAAAGGTCTGCAATGGTGTTCAGCCCCACTTGAAGGATGATAAAGAGGCCAACAAACTTGACCCCTAAAGCACCAGCAAGACTAACACCAGTCAGGCTGAGCCAGAACCACCAGGGGGCAGAGAAGGGCCTGAAAATCAACAAGACAGAGTTCAATTTGGCAGCTGGAACTAAAGGAAAACGCAAGCGCAGCAGGGCACAGGGCAGTTCTCAGACTTGGAGAGGCTGTGCTGTGCCCTGTCTTGGGGGCTCTTAGCCTCAAGGGACCACGGCGTGGCTCCAGGGAGGAGGCGGTCTGTGAAAGCTCTGGAACGGCAGGCAAACCACAGTCTGAGTACGCAGGGTATTTTTCTGGGGAGAGTGTCCATAGTGCTCCTGGCTAAGTACAGGGCTCAGGGTAAGTGGGGGCTCCTTCTTCACGAGTGACCGGTCAGGCAGGAGTGAAAGGAGAATCCTTAGGTGCTCCTGGACTCAGGCAGCCCTCTCCTTTGTGTCACCTCTGCCCCTGTCGAAGGCAGCATTTACTGAGTGCTTACTATGTGTCAGGCACCATTCCAAGTATAATACATACATTAATTCTTCTAGCTGTCACTATAGCCCACAGCGGATCATATGTCCCTAGGTCCTCTTTTTGCACAGGAGGAAATCAAGAGACAAAGAGGTGGAGTAATACAGCTAGCAGGCAGTGGGGCACAGTTTTAACCCAGGCAGTTGGGTCAAAGTTAGTGCTCCTGACCATTTTGCTGTTTGTATAGCACCTAGTACTCTACACTGTGATTCTCTGGCTCTCTGGCTGCCTTCTCTGCCAGAGCGAATATTCCTTAACAGCCAAGCTCAACAGAGCTCTGTACATCCAGCTCCTAGCATAGTACCCGGCACACAGTATGTATACTCAAGAAATGGTAGATGGAAGTGGATGTGGCGTAACCAGAACACCCAAAGCCAGAGTGGGCTGAGAGTCACTGATCAGGTTTGATTAGCACAATGGAGCTTAATGAGCCTGGCTGTGCCAAGTTAACATCCAGAAAAGCCTAGGAGGGGCCAACTCTTTCGGTTTGAATAGAATGAATGACTTATTCTTCTTTCTCAGAAGTAGAAGGATGATCTGGAAAAGACTATTCTGGAAGTAGACTGGACCCTCCAGGTCAGCTTTAGAACTGACCAGGACCTGGAAGGATCCTCTTGGCTGGTATGGGCCATTCAAACCAACCTTTATATACGCTATTCCCATCATTAGGTCAGGACTGGATGCAACCACTGAGGGCAGGGAGAGAGTTTCCAGGCAGTGTCTACCCTGGTGCCCTCCCTTCTAGGACAGAGTATGTGAAGGACAGGCCTGTCCTGGCATCTCCTAACCAGCACTGGTTACGACAGGCGGGTGGGGAAAGCATTAGGATCCCTCCATAACATCCCAAAACCCCTACCCAATTGTACTCCATTGTAAACATGATAATAATACGCTTGAAAAAGACAACTGACATTTTCTCGGTCTTGAATATGGCAAAAATAAAATCATCTGTAGAAAACTTCTTAAAATCTATTTTTATGATCTAAAATGGACAATCTAAGTTAAAAAAACAAACAAACAAAACGTATGCTTGCCTCAAGCTCAGCTTCAAGACAAGTCTCTGGGCATCCGCCCTGGCCCTGGCCATTACAGAAGTTCTGGAGCTGCCACAGCTTCCGACCCTCCCCTCCCGGGGACGGAGTTTCTGACCTGTTGGCGCAGGAGTTGTACTTGACCATGCTCAGCATGGCAGCCATGATGAAGAACATCAGGATGGGGTCCAGGAGGATGTACTGGGACAGAGTGAGGCATCCCGTATCTGAAAAACATGAGCTCCCTGGTGAAAAGGCGAGGTAAGAGAGGGGCTGCCTGAAAACCAAACACCCCAGCAGTAGGAAACAGTCCCTCTTGCCAGTTAATTGAGTGTAAGCACTTGTACAGTCAGGACTAGAGTCAATATCAACACTGAGTCATTGGGGAGGTGGAAGGCCACAGCTCTGGGAGACATCAAAGCCCAATGACAAGAAGCAGTATCTCACACTGCCTCTAGGCCCTCAACCCAAGAGAAGATCATGTCATTCACTCACTCAGACCAGCCCTGAGACGAGTTCTCTTCCTCATTTCCACCATCAAAAAGGGAGTCCTGCCACTGCTCATGTAACCACAAACTATCTACACCTATGATAGAATCTTATCATTTTACAAGAAGTCTCTCTTGGTGGTTGATTGATGGCAGAATGATCTTCTTTTTTAACTTAAATCCTTAAATCTCATTATGTCATGCTCCTGCTTAAACCCTCCAATGTCTTCCAATCTCACTCAAAGTAAAAAGTTCTCATGACAACTGCCAGAGTCTGTGTGGTCTCCCTACCCATCCAACCTCATCTCCCAGCACCCTCTGCCTCACTCACTCTGTCCTCGCCATGCCAGCCTTCTTACTGTGATTTGAACCCACAGAGCTCTGCACCGGAACTACAGTACACGCACTTCCCTCTGCCTGAATGCTCTTCCCTCAGATCTCTGCAGGGCTTGATCCTTTGTCTCACTCAGGTCTCTGCTCAAAGCCCCCCTCTCAGAAGCTCTTTCCTGACTACCCTGTCTAAAATAGTACTGATCTCCATTATTCCATCCCTTACCCTGCTTTATTTTCTACCTTGCACTTGTGGCTTAGGACATCACACGACAGACTTATTCATTTACTTGTTTATTTACTGTCTGCCCATGATGGAGTAAACTCAATGAGACCAGAGTGCCTCATGGGTGTACCCTCTGAGACCAAGAAAAGTGGCCGGGAGCAGGGTAGGTGCTTGAGAAATTACTATTGAATGAAAAGTGCATAAATGACTAAATGAATGAATAACTGAAGATGGAAATTCAAGATACAAGGAAAAAGCCACCAGTCGTCTATAGAGAAAGCCAATAATCTTGCAATCTATCTGTCAAAACAAAGCAACATATCTGTCAAAGCAAACCCATAAAGTACCCCATTTAAATTAGCCTAGATTTCTTTAAATGTTAAGCTCCCCAAGGTCTTGAATTCACTTTCATAGGAACAAAGCTAGCAACAGGATCAACTTCTACGACGAACTCTCATTTATCCACATGAGGATTATTATCCAAGTTCCCATTTTGCTATCTCTTGCCACCCAGCTATTTCTGCATTTGCCTTTATATTTAGTTGAAACTAGTTTAGGAATGCAAACTAATATTAACCTAAGAGAAGCAAAATTAGAATTATAAGCTTCCTTCAAAAACAAACATACTCACAAATCTATCTTATTACCCATTCCAAACTCAATTGTGAATAACGTGGAGGTAAATCTATTCCTTGGGATTACTCATACCGATTCTCCCCTCCAAAAATATAAAGGCTTGTTATATATATAACTATTGATATACATTAAGTATTACTAGTGAATGAGCTTTGTAGTACATTTTACCCAATCCTAAAATTAATTGAATTGGACCCACAGATAGGACCCTTGAACGTACTGATTTTCAGCTACATTTACAGAGTGGCAGCCCATTTCCCAAAAGCCATGGCATGGCTAAGACAACTTACCAAAGGTGAGGAGGGCAGCGGTGAGCAATGCTGCCGAGAGGGACTTAGACAGATCCAGTACAGTGAGGTAGGCAAAGGGGACCAGCCAGGAGCCAAGGAATGCACAGAACTGTGGGAGAAATAGAGAAGCTGTCAAGTAACAAGCTGAGCTAGGTCAGGGACCTACTGGACTCAGTACAACCTAACATTTAAGACAGGGGACCTGATGAAGGCATGACTTTGGTGACCTAAAGTCACCTAGGATATCTAGAACTAAGAAAAGAGTATTGTAATAGTGAACAGCCAAATCAAGCAATAGGTATGTTCCCATTAAGCAGCAACTTGTGCACTGACATGAAATCAGCAGAGTTCAGCCAGGAAGGTGTGGGTAGGAGAGAGGGAGAAAAGCAACCAAGTAGCTACACACCAGGAATAGAGAGAAGGGAAGAAAATGAGTGTTATTCACACAGAGATAGGAATTGACAGCCATTAGCTTCTATTACACAACTGTAGGTACAAGTTGAGAAAGACCCCTCTGAAGGTATTTCAGAGAATTTTAAGGAACCCCTAGTTCTTTTCTTCATTTACACCAGAAACCAGTCTTTAATCTACCCAATGTACATATTTTGATTTTGGAAAAAGGGATTGCTTGATACTTCAGTACCTGGATGCCTGTTTGGTTTTTTGTTTTTTTAAGCTGCCAGCCCTCTTCCATCCCCTACCTGTCCATCAGAATAAACAGACAAGCCAGAATAATGGGAAATTCTTATGTCTGGTTGTTACATCCAATTACATATGACACGTGGTGTTCAAAAGTTATTAGGAAGACACAGAATCACTTAAGAACATGAACTTGAGGGTAGGACATACTCCTTGTTTAATATACCACAATATGGCCACGCAAATCATCTAACGATGAGGCCAAATAAGCACACAGTCATTTATTTAAAATGCTATGAAATCCTCAAGGAAAGGGGCTTGTAAATGCAAACTTCTCTGAGAGGTCCACACTGGAGGTCAGCTTCTGCTGGCTTCATTCAGCCACACGTTCGGGGTTCCCAAAGAGTTGGGGGTTAAGGCCCTGCCATGTTCCACCAAGGCTGGTGCTGTGAATTAGGACACACAGGGATTGGAGCAGACATTTGGCCTCCCTTCAAATAAGGCTGGAAAATTCTGTGTGCCTGAAACCTTCATTGGGAAAGACACAGGAACATGGTGACAGGGTGTGGGCATGCTGAAATCTTCAGAAAAGGCTCCGAGATGTAGGCAACACTCCAGCAGCTGTGCCTGTGAGGGGAGGAGCAGGCAGCGTGCCAGTGCATGGAGGCACCACTGGGACTGCAGGAGACTCCTGACTGCCCGGGTTCCAGGCTGTTCTCCAACCTGAGGTCTGACAGTACACCGGGGCAGGGCAGCAGGTGACAATGCGTGCTTGCTCCTATCTATGTCATCTCTGTATTATCTGCGGCCTCCTCTTCCCTTCTTTCTCACCTCAGTTCTGACCATCTACACCACAGGGGAGGGTCTGATCATCCTCCCCCTCGTCACCACCCAGAGTCCCTTTATTTACACCTGCCACCACTCCAGGGCTGTTAACTATTAACATTTCTGATTAGTGTGGCCCCAGGGTTCAGTCAGTCCATATCAAGTCAGGAAACCTTACTCCTCTCATTCCCATGTAGCTGTGATGCTCATATTTATCCCCAGGCTTCTGGAACAAAAAGGTACCATCATATCCACTCAGGTAGCCAGCAAGACCTATCAGCATCTGAGGAGAGAAGAACAAATAAAAAGATGAGAAGCTTTTAGGAGAAGATTCCTCTGTCCTCTGAACTTCCCTCCAGCTGCACCCACAGACTTTGGGTTCCCTTGACAACTGTCCATAGAAAATGTTGCCGATGCGACATTTTCTCCTGCAGCTGCCACAGAGCAAAGAATCTTTTGTCTATAGAGCTCACTGCTTGAAACAAAACCTCTCTTGTATTATGGCTGAGTTCTGGGAACAGCACAACCTAAACACTTAGGAAGGAAAAAGAGCCCCACGATTTGAAGGGCAGAGTCAGTAAGGGGCCCTCTTATTCCGCTTTCCTTCAGATAGTGTAAAATAAAACAGGGCAGCTCTTGGGTCATGGGCAGAGGCTGATTCCTGGGGAACTGGCCTCTTGAAAGGAAAGTGAGGTTCCAAGTCACGGTGAGGGAGAAAAGGGACCAAGGAGCTACATACCAGGAATAAAGACAAGGGAAGAAAACCAGAAAGAGGAATGCAAAGACAGATGCATTTGCCCAGAGGGGAAGAGAAAAACTGCCAAAGACCAGAGGCTAGTTTCTCCCATTCCTAATATTCCAAAGGAGGGCAACGTCGGTACCTCCCAAACCAGAACAAATCAACTAGAAATTGAGACTGTGAGTCATGAACCCTTCAAAACCTTTGACAAGATCGGCTGTGTCTTTTGTATATTTCCTTGGCCATCAACATTGTAAAATTCTATTTTTCGCATAAGCAATCAGAAGCAGCTGAAGTATAAAAACTGCTGGCAAACGCCAACCATCTGGGACAGCCCCAGGCTGCTCCAGTCTGACCCCCCAGGCTCTGGTGGGCTGGGATGCAGGAGGGAATACACTGGCTGTGTGGGGAAAGTCTCTCTTAGCTACACTTGTGGGACTTGGATTTAGACTACTAACTAACCCACTATTTTCTCTAAGTAGTTCTAAACAGAGCCACGCTACAGCTCCAGGTCAAGGTACAGAAGCCAAAGTTTGGCCGAAAAAGACAACAAAGACTTGCTTTTAAAAAGGAAGGCGGGGACCCCAGGGCCCGGACAGGGTCATCCAAATACCTAGATGAACTAAAGCTGCCAAGTGGCAACAAATGGATCCCTCTTCTCACCTGGGATCTCGCAGGACAAGCTTGCCTGGTGCTGACCATACATTTCCAGACTGCTTGGCTGGTCTGGGGTGAAGAAATGCACAGATGGTTTGGACCTCAGTGTCCCTATATTCTAGCTCTTTGATCACGGACAATACTTAATATCTCTGAGCTATAGGTAATAAAAACTTCCTCCCGGGGGCGTGAGGATTACAGGTGATGCCATTAAGTAAACACCTAACACTACACCAACCACTTAGCAGACACTCAAAATTCAGTTCTCTCTCAGTTCCCTTACGGTTCAAAGTAGCTCCAAGTTAATTTCTTCTTTTTTTTTCTTTTTTTTTTTTTTTTTTGAGGTGGAGTCTCACTCTGTCCCCCAGGCTGGAGTGCAATGGCACGATCTCAGCTCACTGCAACCTCCCCCTCCCCGGTTCAAGCAATTCTCCCGCCTCAGCCTCCAGAGTAGCTGGGATTACAGGCACTTGCCACCATGCCCAGCTAATTTTTTGTTTGTATTTTTAGTGGAGACGTGGTTCCACCATGTTGATCAGGCTAGTCTTGAACTCCTGACCTCAGGTGATCCACCCACCTCAGCCTCCCAAAGTGCTGGGCTTACAGGCATGAGCCACCGCGCCCAGCTGTTTTTTTATTTTTTATATAAGTTTCGTTCTTGTTGTCCAGGCTGGAATGCAATGGCACGATCTTGGCTCACTGCAACCTCCATCTCCCAGGTTCAAGCGATTCTCCTGCCTCAGCCTCCCGAGTAGCTGGGATTAGAGGCACCCACCAACACGCCCGGCTAATTTTTGTATTTTTAGTAGAGACCGTGTTTCACCATGTGGGCCAGGCTGGTCTTGAACTCCTGACCTCATGATCCACCCACCTCAGCCTCCCAAAGTGCTGAGATTACAGGCATAAGCCAAGGCGCCTGGCCCCAAGTTAATTTCTTAACTAAACAACTCTTTCAAATCAACAGAAAAAAAATGAATAACTTACTAGAAAATATGGCAAATTCATAGAAAACAAAATACAAATGGCTAATAAACATATGAAAAAATGTTCAACCTAACTCATACAGCCATGCAAATGAAAACAGTGACATGTCATTTTTTACTCTCCAATTGGCAAAGTTTTTTTTTTGAAACAAAGTCTCGCTCTTGTCACCCAGGCTGGAGTGCAGTGGCGCGATCTCGGCTCACCACAACCTCTGCCTCCCGGGCAGATTCAAGCGATTCTCCTGCCTCAGCCTCCCAAGTAGTTGGGATTACAGGCACCTGCCACCATGCCCGGCTAATTTTTGTATTTTTAGTAGAGACGGGGTTTTACCATGTTGGCTAGGCTGGTCTCAAAAACTCCTGACCTCAGGTGATCCACCTGCCTCAGCCTCCCAAATCCCATGTTGGGATTACATGCGTGAGCCACCGCACCCGGCCAACAAAGTTTTTAAAGTATGATCATACCAGTGCTGGCAATGATGTGGGGAAGAAAGCACTGTCATACACTGTTGGTGGGAATATATATGATTACAACATCTTTGCAGGAAAACTTAGCAATATCTAGCTCAATTTTAAATGTGTATATTCTTTGATGTTTTAGCTTGGTTGCTGGGAATTTTTCATATATACCTTGACAACTATACAACGATATAGTGTACAAGGATGTTCACTGCAATATCTTTTGTAATGGCTAAAAACTGGAAATAACCTACATGCTGCCCACCAACTGAAGAGGCGTAAATACTTATGGCACATCTACATAACAGAATGACACACGGCCATTAAAAAGAATAAAGCGCATCTTCATATGCTAATGTGGAAAGAAGACATATCATGTTTCAAACACAAGTTGCTGAACAATTGTAGTCTTATCCCATTTGAGTTTTTAAAAAGAATTGTGTGTATATATAATGTGTTGTTCATATGTACATATATAAAAACATACACGCTTTTATTTGCATAAAAAATTCTTAGAGGAATATAAGAAACTATTGAAAAAGATGACTGTGGTAACCTCTGTGGACTAGAAATGTGGTGGCTTCTGACACCTTCTGAAGGAGGCTTCTGACCTCGTACTTCCTTCTGTGCTGACCACATTTTCTGCTATGTGCAGGCTTTTTTATGTTTTAAGTTCCTGTAGGACTGGAGCTGCCAGATGCCCAGGGCTGGGGGCCAATGTGAAGCGTGGGTCTCGGCCTCAGTAGCGAAGGAAGAAACTTCCTGCTTGCCACTTGGAGGGGTTTTGATTTCTTGACTGGCTTGGCCTCAGAACCTGCAGAAGCTACTGTGCCCTCTCACAGGTTTCCAGTTTGCTCATCACTCTCTTTCAACCAGACAGAACACGAGATAAATTAGGGGTGCCGATGGGCCACACTCCCTGAGGGCAGCCTGAGAACCCTCATACTTCTCCCTTCACACGGGCAAGCGGATGTGAGGAAGGCAAGGCTTAGGTATATTATTATTTTATTTTATTTTATTAATTTTTTTGAGATGGAGTCTTGCTCAGTCGCCCAGGCTTGAGTGCAACGGCGTGATCTTGGTTCACTGCAACCTCCACCTCCCAGGTTCAAGCTGCTCTCCTGCCTCAGCCTCCCAAACATCTGGGACTACAGATGTGTGCCACCATGCCCAGCTAATTTTTGTATTTTTAGTAGGGATAGAGTTTCACCCTGTTGGCCAGGCTGGCCTCGAACTCCTGACCTCAGGTGATCTGCCCACCTTAGCCTCTCAAAGTGCTGGGATTACAGGCGTAAGCCACTGCGCCTGGCCTAAGGCTTAGGTAAATTAAACAAATCAGCCAGTCCTGTGCACATGTCCACAGTGCGCTGAGCACCAGGAAAACTCCAAAAAAGAATGGGCAGTCCCCACAGAAACACTGGGCTGGGTTTCCTATGAAAAATCTTCATCAGAAGTCTGGTTCCCAGGCGAGCTCCATGCAAATACTCAACACATCTGTTGCTTAATTCTACGGTAGTAACAGATGTAGTCTGAGGAATGAGCCAAGGCAAGTTTGCGAGGTAGTGTGGTGTCACAATTAAGAGAGCAGGCTCTACGCCAGTCTGAATCTTGATTCTGCCACTTCCTAGCTTGGTTCCCTATGGCAAACTACTTATCTGCCTTCAGTTCCCCATCTGTGTAATGGGGATGCAACAATACCTACTTTATAAGGTTGTTCTGAGGCTTACATGAGATAATGCCTCTAAGGTGACCAGAACAGAATAAATGTTTTTAATTGTTTTTGTTATTGTTGTTATAGTATAAAAGAGATAGGAAGAGGCATAATACTTTCGACACTTTTCTTGGGCTCAGAGCCAGTTTTGAAATAGGCTACCTGTTCTACCTCCCTCTCCACCCACTGCCTTGTAGGACCCCTGCTCTCATGCTTCCTTAAGCTCAACCATAGGTGATCTTTGTGATCTTTGATAAAAGATTACTATCCCTGCCTCCTCCTGGCTTTCCTGCTCCCACCTTTATCCCCCAAGTACTATATGCGCCAAAATCCCTCCCCAGTTCCTCACAGGAAAATTCCTGTCCCCTTGGTGCCCAAGATCTCAGTCTCCAGTTAGGAAGAAAGCCTTGCGTGAATTCCAGAGCTAATCTGAGAGCCTTCTCAGAGATTTTTGTTTTTAAAAGACTAAAATGGGCCAGGCACGGTGGCTCATGCCTGTAATCCCAACACTTTGGGAGGCCAAGGTGGGTGGACCTCCTGAGGTTGGGAGTTCAAGACCAACCTGGCCAACACGGTGAAACCCTGTCTCTACTAAAAATACAAAAATTAGCCAGGCGTGGTGGTGGGCGCCTATAATCCCAGACACTCAGGAGGCTGAGGCAAGAGAATCACTTAAACTTAGGAGGCGGAAGTTGCAGTGAGCCAAGATTATGCCATTGAACTCCAGCCTGGGTGGCACAACTGAAACGCTATCTCAAAACAAACAAACAAACACAAAAAGAGTAAAGTGAATTCTAATTGGTGGAATTTCTAATGGCAAAACATGTGAGAGAAACAGATCAATGTGTATGCTGGGCATGGGAAGGGAGAAAGAAGTCAGCCCCACATGGACATCAGCCTCCTGAGCTATTTCTGCTTCATGCAGTGTATTCCTATTTCTTTTTTCTTTTTTAAAATTGAGACAAATTCACATAACATAACATCCACCAGTTTAAAGTGTGCAATGGGTGGTTTTAAGTATATTCACAAGATTGTACAATCATCACCACTACCTAATTCCATAACATGTCATCACCCCATATGACATGTTATGGAATTTGCACGCCCCACGCCCATTTGCAGTCACTGCCTAATCCTCCCTCCCCAAGATCCTGGCAACCACTAATCTACTTTGTGTCTCTGTGGATTTATCAGTTCTAGATATTTCGTATAAGTGGAATCACAGGGTATGTAACTTTTTGTGTCTGGCTTCTTCCATTTAGCATGTTTTCTAGGTTCATCCATGTTGTAGCACGTATCAGAACCTCATCCCTTTATATGGCCAAATAGTATTCCACTGTATGGCTGTGCCACACTTTTGTTCATCCCTCCCTCAGCTGATGGGCCCTCTTTCCATTTCTGAGCCCAGAGGACCCTTTAAAAAACACCAAAGATTTTCCATGAAAGTAGCGGGTCTGAAACATCAGAAAATTCTTTCTACAAGTCCCAAACTCTTTCTACAAGCCCCAAACCCAAAATCAAGATGTGGCTCCAGCCCTTAGGAACGATCCTCCAGGACCAGAGAGCTGCTGTTCACCACACTGCTCACCTTTCCCAGAGGCGGGTGCACGTCAAAGAAAAACGTACGGTTGATATAGTAACTTCCCATTTTTCCAAAGTGAGTCTCATCCCAACTAAAGGAAACACAGAAAGAAAAACAAGAATTTTAAAATTATCATAAAATCCAAATGGCCTTAATAAAGCATGGTTAAAATTAAAGGCTGTGCATTTCAAACAATTAATGCAAAAGTTTGGATTTAAAAAAAAAAAAAAATCTTTTGACACAAGTGATTTGAGGAAGAAAGACATCAAGCTAGCCACCGGTCTTCATTTAGATAGATGAGAAAGGTGAGCAAATATTCACCAGCCAGTTACCAATTGAGTTAAATATACATATACTTACTCTGTATCTTGAGTTTCTATTTATTTTAAAAGGACAAGAAGTTTTCTCATAATATGGAAAGGTTTGTAGTAAGAGTTTTCTTCTGACCGGGCGCGGTGGCTCACAACTGTAATCCCAGCACTTTGGGAGGCTGAGGCGGGCAGATCACGAGGTCAGGAGATCGACACCATCCTGGCTAATACGGTGAAATCCCGTCTCTACTAAAAATACAAAAAATGAGCCGGGAGTGGTGACGTGTGCCTGTAGTCCCAGCTACTCGTGAGGCTGAGGCAGGAGAATGGCGTGAACCGGGGAGGCGGAGCTTGCAGTGAGCCGGGATGGCGCTACTGCACTCCAACCTGGGCGACAGAGCAAGACTCCATCTCAAAAAAATAAAAAAAATTAAAAAAAAAAGAGTTTTCTTATCTCCAAGTAGCCAGTGTAAACAATTTAAATTAAAAAAGTTTCTTCCAAGTCTGTTGACTTCTGAGACAACATTTGCTATTACAAGGTCCATTACGACATTGTCGGGCTATTGGTCAGGGTTGAGACTATAAACCATGATTGTCACAGGAGTCTCACTTTGCTCAGCGACCCTGTGACAAGTAAGCTGCTAACTATGATCTGGCTGATCTTATACTAACTAGTATATAAAAGTTGAAGGTTTTCTTACTAAATTAAGACCACATCTAAAACCTATCCTCACTGCTTAAGTTATTTTGCAAGTAAATAAGTGATTTGAATAAACAGGCTTTCAAACACAATGCAAAGCCCTCTTTTATACAAGCACATACATCTTTCTATACCATACACGAGGGCTTTGGGAAGGCAGCCAAGTCATCCAGCAGAGCCTGGCCTTTTCTATTTGTTATTTTCTCCCTGCAGCTCAAAAGAAGAGTTACTTTCTAGTAGTCATCAATTCCCCAGGTCATGAGCAGTCATTAGTGACCTACTACATAAGGGGAAAACATGCTTTACCTAAAAATCTAGGGTTCTTTCCATATCTTACTCGGTGGGTCCAAGATAGGCAAAAGAATAGGTCTATTTCAGCACCTGCTAAACACATTGCTTGACATGCGATGAGGACACTGGCATGGTAAGGTCAAAGAGAGAAATAACTTCAAAGCAGCGTAACAAAATTGATTTGCAGAAAGAGAGATCCAGTCCCAGCTCCACTGCTAACTAATGACACAACCTGGCAAAATCACTCATTCTCTCTACTCCTCTTATCTCATCTACAAAACAAAGACAATAATATTATCTGCCCTGCCCACCTCCCAGGGAGGCCTTAGGGCTCAACTCAGGTAACACATGTGAAATAATTCTATAGACTATAAAGTACCATCCCTGCTGGACCCTATTTAAACTGTCCTAGTTTTTAAATCTGTTTGGGAACATACTAACAAAAGGATTCCAGTTTTGTGTTGTTGTTTTGTTTTTTGTTTGTTTTTTGAGACAGAGTTTCACTCTTGTTGCCCAGGCTGGAGTATAGTGACGCAATCTTGGCTCACTGCACCTTTCACCTCCCGGGTTCAAGCGATTCTCCTGCCTCAGTCTTCCAAGTAGCTAGGACTACAGGTGCCCACCACCATGCCCCTGGTTAATTTTTGTATTTTAGTAGAGATGGGGTTTCACCATGTTGGCCAGGCTGGTCTCGAACTCCTGACCTCAGGTGATCCACCTGCCTCAGAGCCCCAAAGTGCTGGGATTACAGGTGTGAACCACCGCACCCGGCCTGGGCTCCAGATTTTTACTTCAAAAGTTTCCCAAGTAAAACCAGTTGTAACATTCATATTTCCTCCTGGCTTTTATTGCTTGTGTTAGCAGAGACAGTCCTCCATGGCTCTCTTGTGCTCCTCCAGGCCTTTCAGGGTATGCCAAGAATGCAATGTCCCCGATCCTTAGGTCATTTCTAAGGTTATGTTTGCAGTAAACAACCTTGAGGGAAGAGTTAGTATCTCCCTCTGAGACAGAGGGCTGTCTTGTTTATTGCTTGCCATAAAACAGCAGATTTCCCAAGCTTAATATTACTCAGCTGTGATGCAACCTTCTGCATGTGCAAGCATTTATCCAGTCCCTCAGCACCACGTGGGACTTAGGGGCAAAGGAAACTGATGCCAACATGCTGATGCACATCCCACTTGCTGTGCCATGAGAAATAAAGTCCTTTGTCTCTGACCCAAGACTTTATCTTCTTTCGGCATGCAAACAACAGTGACAGGCTAACTTATTAGCTTGTAAGTAGCTAAGATAAAATCCCCAGCCCCTGACAATGTGGAGACAAGCATAGGAGGAGGAGAGACATAGTCTTCCGTAAGAGAAAGAATGAGGGCCTCCATAGGCCGGCAATGGGGTAGTGAGAGTCCCCCACTGTCCCACTATTACAGAGACTGATGGAAAGAGGTAGGATTGAAACAAGCCATTGAATGTCACCCTGGTTATTGCCCTGTGGTCTGGGCAAAAGGAGGAAGAGGAGTGATCATGACAATGGCAGCAAGCTCAGCAGCCCCTGCCAAAAGGCAATATGGATGCAGCTGCTCAATCAACAAGTCTCCAACGCTTCAACAAATGGTGCGGCAATAGGACCCTGCTATATAAGACAGAACTTTGAGTAAAATGAAAACACTGAAAGATCCTTGGGGGAGCTGTGTACTCAAGCCAAAAGTAAATACAAATATGCCTTGCTTTCTGGCTCAGAGTCACTCTCTCAGTTTATGTCCCACGATCCCTCCCAACTCTACCACAACCGCAGCTGCTTTGAAGACTGAGATGGGCAGGGCGCGGTGGCTCATGCCTGTAAACCTAGCACTTTGGGAGGCCAAGGCGGGTGGATCACGAGGTCAGGAGATCGAGATCATCTGGCTAACATGGTGAAACCCCGTCTTTACTAAAAAAATACAAAAAATTAGCCGGACGTGGTAGCGGGCGCCTGTAGTCCCAGCTACTCGGGAGGCTGAGGCAGGAGAATGGCGTGAACCCAGGAGGCGGAGCTTGCAGTGAGCCGAGATCACGCCACTGCACTCCAGCCTGGGCGACAGAGCGAGACTCCGTCTCAAAAAAAAAACAAAACAAAAAAAAAACAAAGACTGAGATGATTAAAGGGGACGGAAGGTCATACACACCCATCCTAGTATGCTGGAGAGCCCCAATGCTGGAGAGCCCCAGGGAGGAGAGGGGCAAACTCAGGGCTCTGCTGGATATGAGGTCCCACATCTCCACTCTACCGTGTCTCATGGCGGGGAGGATGTGCTAGGCACAGAGGTTACTGCAGACACTCAGAACTGCAGGGAGAGCTGTAGCAGTGTGCACAAGGACTAAAGGGAGCACTTTAGTCCTAACCCTGGGGGAGCAACACTGGGGAGGTCGTGCTGCTGAGCCTAGCGAACAGCTAAAGGAGGAGAAAAAGTTTCTCCTCACTTCCTGCATCCAGCACCGCCACACACTCCAACTGGGAAATAGCAAAATCTCTGGCTTGCTGTCACCATAGCCCCTGATGCAGGCCTTCTAGACACATTAGTTCAAGGGGAAAAAGTGTCCAGATTAAACTGGTAACGTTTGAGCCATGCTCCCCATAGGGAAGGGAAGTTAAAGTGACATTCCAGGCAAAGCTCTTTGGGCCTCTTTAGTGTACTATTCCTGTGGCTTCCAGTGTTGAATGCATAGCTGATACTGATCCCATAAGTGTCAAAGAGGATTATCCTGTGCAAGGGCTGCTGTGTGTAGACAGGTGATCCTGTCCTCTCCTGGTGGTCCAGAAGATAAAAATCCCCATCCCTGGAAGGGAAAGGAAATAAATCGCAGGCTTAAAAACTTCATGGCAGCTGGGCACGGTGGCTCACACCTGTAATCCCAATACTTTGGGAGGCCAAGGCGGGCAGATCACCTGAGGTCAGGAGTTTGAGACCAGCCTGGCCAACATGGTGAAACCCTGTCTCTACTAAAAATACAAAAAGTTAGCCAGGCGTGACAGCGGGTGCCTGTAATCCCAGCTACTCGGGAGGCTAAGACAGAGAATTGCTTGAACCCAGGAGGCAGAGGTTGCAGCGAGCCAAGATCAAGCCACTGCACTCCAGCCTGGGCAACTGAGACGCCTCCGTCTCAAAATAAATAAATAAATAAATAAAACTTCCTGGCTGTTGGAGTACTGAGAGCCACGCACCAGAATCACAGTGCCACCTGCTGGACATAGGTACCAAGCACACCCTTTCTAAAAGGGCAGCTATTAACCTCTTATCAACGCTTTGAAATTGATTGCCAGACCCATAAAGGCCTCAGGACTCCCTGGCCTAGTATTCCCACTTTGGGGTGGGTCAGTGGGAATCTACTGATAACAAGGGAAGGGTTTACAAGCCTCACTGATCCCATGGAAATAGTACATTCAAGAATAGAGCTGGTAATCCCAGCTATTCAGGAGGCTGAGGCAGGAGGATGGCTTGAGGCCAGGAGTTCAAGACCAGCCTTGGCAGCATAGTGAGAATTTATCTCTTAAAAAATTTGTTTTAATTAGCTGGATATGGTGGCACGTGCCTGTAGTGCCAGCTACTCAGGAGGCTGAGGCAGGAGGAGCCCAGGAGTTTGAGGCTGCAGTGAGCTACGATTGTACCACTCCACTCTAGCCTGGGCAAAAAAGTCAGACCTCATCTCTTTGAAAAAAAGAGTATAGCCATGCTGGCCCTAGAGGCATCTTGGTTTTCCGTGAAAGAGTGGCAGCTCCCACTTTGGGAGAAACAACCTTCTCCACTGCCTGAAGCCGAGCTGCTGGTTCAGTAGGGCCCTGATTCACAGGGGTTCCTCTAAATGCTTAGGCCTGGCTCACCAATGATTAGGCTGAGTTAAAAACTGATGTTACCCACCAGGCAGCAGCAGGCACTTAGCCCCAATGACAACTCTGGATGGCTGAGGGCAGTAAGGATTGAAGCACTTGGTATGCCACTTGGAAGACTAAATACTGAGAGAGGAAAGTGAGAACTGTGAACACATCATGGCTGCCTGCCATGAGGACAGACTAGATCACTCATATAGGTGCCCACATTAAGGGCAGGTACTCTCACAAGACTGACTGGGATCAAGCTGCTGATCCAGCCTGCACCACCAAGACTGCGGCCATAGCCACCCAGATTCATGCAACAGGTATGGAAACATCTACCATCATGGACCAGGCACAATGTAAGGGACTACATGTTTCTGAGGCAGAAGCCACTACTGCATGCCAGACTTGTGACCCCTGCCAAAAGTTGGCCTGCTTGTCTTGCAGTAAAGGAAACCACGTTGCAAGGGGCACTGACCCCACCTGCTCCTGGGAAACTGACATTAGGACTTTGTTCCCTTCTCCCAGGCTCTCATCAGTACCTTGCTACTGCTGATACTTTTTCAGGTTACAGTGCTGATGTTGCTTTTCCAGTTCAATTATCTGACTGTGTATACCACTGTGGCCCTTGGAACTAAGCTCTGCCAGGTTTTCTGCTTTCCAAACCATCTACAGTCTGACAGTGGCATATCTTTTTGTCACAACGGCCACCCAACAGTGTCAACAGTCAATAGCCAAGGTATTCGATGGACCTCCCACATTCCCTACCATCCACAGGCATGATATTGTCAAGTACTGAATAATTCCCTCAAAGATCAACTCAAAAAGATTTTTGACTCTGTTTTTAACCTCCTCCCAGTCTGCACACCTTAGTGAAGCAGTTTGGTCACCTAAGGCAGCCATTCTCAGAAAGGGTTCATCTCCTTTTGCCTACCAACTGGGTAATGATCAGGAAAAAGGGGTGGAGGGTTATATAAACCTATTTTGAAAATTTAAGATTCTTCCCTGACCATTTCTGGCCATGGTTCATCTTTTGCCTTACAGAAAGCCCAGATCAGCTGGGAGGAGGAGGCTATCTATGTAATTCGGACTTAATTCTAGTTCAGTCACTAGATTGCCTTGTTGGAATGGGCTGGCGCTACAGCATAAAGTTAATGATCATTTGGTTGGGTACACTGGTTTTAAAGTCCCCCTACAGTGGCCCACATGTGTCAAGGTAGAAGACATAATGGGCCTCTGTCAATTTTCTAACAATGCCCTTGGGTATTAAAAGGTCTGGATATTGAATAAATGGAGAAAAGGTGAAGTTATAGGTACTAGGGTAGGACACACTAATTATGTAGTAATGGAAGGAAAGAAACAATCCTGGCATCTGGGGAAGGAACACCTTAGGCCCCTGGAGATGTAAAGAGAAGGGAAACAATGTTCTCTTTGTTTGCCAGGCACTAAAGCCTGGCAAACATTCATATGGTCCACCTAAGTCAAGCAGCAACTGTGGCTGGCAATCTGAACTGTGGCTGAGTTTGTCATCTCACTATGAAAACAAAAAACTTTATCTAGTAGGTCAGTATAGAAAAGAAAAAAGAAAATAAAAAAAGAAAACAAAAACTCACGTGGACATGGCCAGTCTTGAACTATTCCCACATGCCTGATGACATCAACACCAACTCCCAAACACAGACCTCCCTCACAGGTGTGCAAACACACAGATCAGCACAACCTTCTATCAAACCGGCTGATACAAATCACATGCTTCTCCTGAGATCCTAGGGGCCTTCCTTAGGTTATGCCTTGTCTAGTGATTGAGGCTGCAACTATTCAGTGACACTGCCCATGTGGTTTAAACCACTGTAATGGTAATCGAATTTGATGGTGATCCAAATAAAAATCTAACAAAAATCCTGGAGTGGCCTGCACTCCTTCAAGTAATATGTTAGTGTAAGGAAGAATAGGTCACAAAGTATCTTTCCATTAATCATAGTAGTTACTTCTTTTTTTTTGAGATGGAGTCTCACTTTGTTGCCCAGGCTGGAATGCAAAGTTGCTCACTGCAACTTCTGCCTCCGGGATTCAAGTGATTCTCCCACCTCAGCCTCCTGAGTAGCTGGGATTACAGGCACCCGCCATCATGCCCGGCTAAGTTTTGTATTTTCAGTTGAAACGGGGTTTCACCATGTTGGCCAGGTTGGTCTTGAACTCCTGACCTCAGGTGATCTGCCCACCTCGGCCTCCCAAAGTGCCAGGATTATAGGCATGAGCCACCGTGCCTGGCCTGGTAGTTACTTTCTTACAATTTTTTTTTACAAGGGTAGAGGGCTATTGTAATTACTGTAATTACGAAGATCAGAGATCAATCTGAACTCCTGTGCACAGGTCACAGTGGTTAATAGACCAGATGTCTGAAATAAGATTCCTTGGTGCCCCCAGGACTTATTCACATGTGGCTGAATTCGGGACTCTGGAGGGCACAGTTGAGGTAAATCCTGTAAGCTGGCCTTATTCTGCTGCTTAGAGTCCCATTGACAACAACCTTAATTAAATGCTGTAAGGGACAAACTGAAAAGATTTGGTCCCTGCCTCTGTCAGCCAGGTTAATCAGAGTAGCCAGGGGAGTTGCATATTCATGTGAAAATCTGCTAGAAGCCAAGACTGCAGAATCGAGGAGTGAGAGAGGCTGTCAGATTGCTCGTGCCTCTACACATCATTCTGGGTATACCAAGAATGCAAGGCTCTTACTGCATCTCACTTGGGCCTTTTCTCAGGGTTGTGTTTGCAGCAAGCAACCTTGAGAGAAGAGGCAGTGTCTCCCTCCAGGACAAAGAGGAGGTCTGTGTACTGCCGTCTATAAAACAGCAGATTTTCCAAGCTTGTCGTTCCTTCACTTGGATGCAACCCACTGCCTGTGCAGTCATCCATTTAAACCCATAGCGTCACCCTGTGGGACGTGGATGGCAAGGGAAACTGCTTCTAACATGCATCCTCTTTCCTGTAATAAAGTCCTTTGTCTCTAACCCAGGAGTCTCATCTTCTGCCAGCAGTCACGACACAATAACAGGCTAATTTATTAATTTCTAAACAAAGCAACCCTGACTGTCTGTTTTCTTGCCTGCTTTTTGCTTAAAGAGTTCCATTTCTGGGCCAGGCGCGGTGGCTCACGCCTGTAATCTCAGCACTTTGGGAGGCCAAGGCGGGCAGATCACGAGGAGATCAAGACCGTCCTGGCTAACACGGTGAAACCCCGTCTCTACTAAAAATACAAAAAACATTAGCCGGGCGTGGTGGTGGGCGCATGTAGTCCCAGCTACTCTGGAGGCTGAGGCAGGAGAATGGCATGAACTCGGGAGGCAGAGCTTGTAGTGAGCCGAGATCGCGCCACTGTACTCCAGCCTGGGCGACAGAGCGAGACTCCGTCTCAAAAAAAAGAAAAAAAAGAAAAAGGAAAAAAGAGCTCCATTTCTGACACCCAGTATCTGGACAGTACAAGCTAAAACCTTTAAGAAAATAAATCTCTTCTCACAGGAAGAGTTCTGCCTCTTAAAATCCTTTTCTCACCATACCTGAACACCCAAACTGTCCTTGCCCTATAAGATAAAGGTACACAGTTAGGTATTTTCCCCTCTGTTGATGCCTGAAAATCCTGCAGATATCGGAACTCAGGCCTTAGAAAATTCTGTACCCAAGAATTTGCAATTCTCTTTGGAAAGTTGAAAGCACCTTTAAAAGCCACAATTTGCAAGCCAGGTGATGCAGTGTAACATAACGCGAAAGACATGAGGGCTGCTTCCTCAGATCCTAACAATCCCATTGCCCCACTACCAGAGCAAAACGATCCCCCTCCCAGAGAATGCACCTCGCCAGAGGCCAAGCCACCCGGTACCTCAAGTTCCCCTCCACCACGGCCCCGCCCCTCCTCCTGTAGATCCCGCCTCCTCCGTACCCTCGGGCCAATCAGAGGGCGGCGTCCCCTCGCGGTTGCCATGGTGGCCACCGAGTCCCTCCCATCACTCACCAGATGTGCGGCGGCTCGGCCAGGCGGTGGAAACGGGTGGCGAAGGACAGCAGCGTCACCAAGGCCAGCAGGGCCCACCGGCCGGCCGCTTCGAAGCGCCGTGAGCCCCGGGCAGGCCGTTTGGGGCTTCGCGCCGCAGCCTCGGCGGCCACGTCCCGGCCTGCGGCCCTAGCAGCCTGGGGCCCACAGCGGCCCCTCCGGGGACGCAGTTCGGACTCTGCCAGGCCTCCGCCCGTAGCCGGCGACATCTTCCCCCTCCTCCGGGTCGCCCACCGGCCCAGAGGCACACTCTGACCAGCCGCCCCGCCAGGGAGTCACAGGAGGGCAGCTCGGGGTACCCCGGGAAATGCCGCTCCACGGCAGCGGAGTGCGGGGCCCCGGGCTCTGGGCGGGGTGGGCAGCGTGGTCGCGGCCCGGGCCGCTAGGAGGCGGCAGGAGGCGCAGAGCATGTCGGGACCGGGAGGGCCGGCCGGCCCGAGGGGGGACTGTGCAGGAGGGGTCGGGCTCAGGGAACTGCAACTCCCAGCAGCCCCCGGGTACGGGGCGTGGCAGGAGGGCTGGGCGTGCCGGAGGCGACCGGAAGGATCATTGTAGTCCAGACCCTCGCTTTACCCGGACGAAAGCCACGGGCCTGACTCGTCGAGTTTCACTGGGCCTTAGTTGTTGGCGAGTCCCAGGCGCTAAGTTTCTCGGCCTAGAGGAGGGGTCGCGCGAAGTGCCAGATGCAGGCGGGGAAGGTCTGTGCCGCGCACCCGGGTGGAGGGAAACTGGTTAGACACTTGAAGACCCTGGGGGGCGGGGTCAGAGGTGAGCTGCTCCGCCCGCCCAGCAGACAAAGACTCCTGGCGTGCCGTGCGTTGCGCCGGGCACGCTCTGCGCCTGCGTGCTGCATGCTGCCCGCTGGGTCTCGAATTCCCCGGAGGGTTGGGCTGGGGGAGGAGGCGGTCCTGGTGGGGAGCCAGGTGGAGTCGCTGTCCGGTCGTGCTTCATTTCTGCCCCGCCCTCCCTGCTCCCCTTAACAGACCCCTCCACTAGGGCTTCCAAACGTCGCCCCAAGCTTCCCAGTTTCTCGCAGCCCTTCATGCTCCTCTCTTGGCCCTAGCAGGAGATGGCTTTCCAGTAATGTTTGTATTGTAAGAGTCCCTGGGCAGGGCGCGGTGGCTTACGCCTGTAATCCCAGCACTTTGGGAGGCCGAGGCGTGCGGATCACAAGGCCAGGAGATCGAGACCACCCTGGCTAACACGGTGAAACCCCAGTCTCTACTAAAAATACAAACATTAGCCGGGCATGGTGGCGGGTGGCTGTAGTACCAGCTACTCGGGAGGCTGATGCAGGAGAATGGCGTGAACCCGGGAGGCGGAGCTTACAGTGAGCCAATATCGGCCACTGCACTCCAGCCTGGGCAACAGAGCGAGACTCCGTCTCAAAAAAAAAAAAAAGTCCCCGAGCGACAATCACCTGGGGAGCTTCACGGCTTTCACATGTTCTTCCCGGGGCCTGCTCCAAAGCCACTCTTCATCTCTGGTGGAACGGGCCCGAGAATCTGCATGTTTTTGTAAGCGGTCCTGATGGGTCTTAACGCGCCGTAAAGTTTGAGAACCACTTTTATGGCACTAAGGAAGGTGGCACGTTAGATGGGGCTTTGTGTCACGTTAATAATGTATAGTCCTCCCTCTTCCAAATGGGATTTTAGGAGTCTTTTTCTCAAATCATGTGTAAGACATGGTTTAAAAATAAAATCTGCTAAAGTAATCAGAATGCATATTTGAATTGGAAACAGAAGTCTTCCAGGAGTGCTGATGAGATGGATACTTGGGCTTAAAATTTAGTTCTACAAGTGCAGAAAGGAACGGGGGATGGTTTGCATAGTTATCACTGGTAAGAGAAAGCAGAAAATGCCTAAGAGATTTCAGGTTTCCTGCTTGTGGGTCGTGATGGAGGGGAGCAGCATTTACCATGCTTTTGGTCATTCGTAGTACAGATCCAAAGGTGTAATCCAAAGGCATTTAACCATTAGGTAAGGCATTTCTTCAGGGTTTCTAAGCCAATTAATATCTGCCACTCTCTAGTGGTCACCAGCAGTCCCTGTCCCTTGGCCCCAGGGCCCCTGTAGCCTGGCTAAGTAAGGAAAGGGAACTGCATCTCCAAATAAGAAAGATCCAGTTGTGGCCACCCAATTCCTCCTCTTCGAAAGGCACTTTCTGCCCATCGCCTGCTTTCTGTGCCAGGACCATCTTTACTTTCCCCACAAAAGGTACCTTCAGGACAGGCTGGGACTCCTGGGCTTGGGAACCACCTTGGAAGGGCCTAGGTTCCCACTTGTACCCTTGCCATCTAGCAGACTGAGTTGGTAGTACAGGGATGGTGAAAGCAGGTTCAGGGAGCAGCTTAATATTCTGGGGGCGGCAGAGGGGAGAGGGAGCTTTGGTGAAATGTCTGTAGTCAGAGGGGTAGTAAACAGGGTATCTGAGAAGTTCTGTCAAGTTCTCCCCCATCCATAGGGATACACGTGTTGGTGGGAAGATTCATGAGTGCTAATCACTGGCGAGTCTTTCCTGGGTTCCACTTTGAAATGCTGGCTCCCCAAGAAGTACCAGAGAAATTAACTTTGAGCCCCTTAAACTTTGGAGTAGAGATCACACACCCAGCTGCCCCCAAGGGCCCAAAGGTAACAAAAATGAGGAAAGTGGGCCAGATACGGGCCATGGCAGACCTTAGAGGGCATACCCTGGTTGATGGGGGCCATCAGTCTCTTCCCATCAATTGTTGGTATTTAGGAGCCCAAATCTACTGTCTCCAGATTTTTTAAAGAAAAAAACAGGTGTTGTATATAAAATGTCATGATTTTTATTTTTTATTTTATTTTATTTATTTTGAGATGGAGTCTTGCTCTGTCCCCTAGGCTGGAGGGCAGTGGCACTATCTTGGCTCACTGTATCCTCTGCCTCCTGGGTTCAAGCAATTCTCATACCTCAGCGTCCCGAGTAGCTGTGATTACAGACGCACACCACTACACCTGGCTAATTTTTGTATTTTCAGTAGAGACAAGTTTCGCCATGGTGGCCAGGCTGGTCTTGGACTCCTGACCTCAGGTAATCTGCTGGCCTCAGCCTCCCAAAGTGCTGGCATTACAGGCATGACCCACCACACTAGAACGAAATGTCCTGATTTTTAAACATTGGCAACTACCTGAAACATTTTAAACTACTGTGTTGAGCAAACAGAAATTCTGAGGGCCAGATAGGGCCCCAGTGGGCTGCCAGCTTTTGACCTCACCTTTGGGGTGAGTAAGCATATCTGCCAGCTGTTTTTATGGGGACAGCTGAGAGCCTGGACTGCTGGGAGGTGGGGTTGAAGGAGACAGGCACCAAAGCATCAAAAAGTCAGAATTCCTCATCTTTCTGCATTGCTAGAAGGAATCCCTGCTATTATTTTAGGGCAACCCTTTGTTTTACAAATGAGGGAGCCGAAGATTAAAGAAGGCCGAGGTTTGTCCAAGGTCATGCAGAGCTGGTTCCTGCACCAGGTCCAGACCAGATGCCAGCTCCCAGCCCGCTCTACCACTCAAACTACTGCATCACAACCAGGCCATGCTCTGTGGGGGGACACCAAACCTGGCCCCAGCAGGAGCGTAGAAACTTCCAGCAAGTTGGAAAAAAATGCCCTTTCCTTTTTTTTTTTTTTTTTTTTTTGAGATGCAGTCTCGCTCTAGAGTACAGTGGCTTGGTCTCGGCCCACTGCGACCTCCACCTCCCGGGTTCAAGCTATTCTCTTGCCTCAGCCTCCTGAGTAGCTGAGATTACAGGCACCCACTACCACACCCGGCTGATGTTTTTTGTGTTTTCAGTAGAAGCAGGGTTTCACCATGTTGGCCAGGCTGGTCTCAAACTCCTGACCTCAAGTGATCCGCCCACCTTGGCTCCCAAAGTGCTAGGATTACAGGCGTGAGCCACTGTGCCTGGCCAGAAATGCCCTTTCTGACCAGAGTCAAAGTTCCCCCAATGCCTGGGTAGCCCAGCTTCCCCATTGGCTCCTGAAATCCACCCCTTTAGGTTTCCTTTCCCTGCTCAGAAGCTCTGCCAGAGGGGGCATTCCCTGGGAGGCTGAGGGTCACCACGATACCATGACAGAGTCTGGCAAGGTAAGGAAGTCACTCACAGACTGGCTGCCCCTTTGGGGGCCTCTTGGACCTCAGGAGCTCAAACCAGCACAATTTTGGAGCCAAGGGACCTCATGAGCCTCTCAGAGAGCTCGGAGTCTTGACCTGAGTTGCCCAGATGCAGGCCTGAGAGAGGAGGCCTGGCAGGATAGGAAGAAATGGTTGACTCCTCCCGAGCTGGAGCCCACCCAGCATGTGTTAACACGCGCCTTCATCCTCTCTCCTCAGCCCATCCTCTATTCCTATTTCCGAAGCTCCTGCTCATGGAGAGTTCGAATTGGTAAGAGCTGTGCCTCCTCCAGACTGAGTGCTGGAGTGGGGTGGACTGGGGTGGAGAAGCTGGCCTGGGATGGAAGGGGTGCTCTGTCAGAAAGGACCTCACCCCCAGCAACCAGCATCCCCCGACTCCTAGAACCCCCGTCCCTTCATGGCATCTCCACCCCGGAAACGCAGGGTGAGGGTGGGAGGAAGGGGGTTGTTTTTTTTTCTTGGGACTGACACTTCTCCCAACACTGCTCTCCAAAGCCCCTTGGCAACCGTGTTTAAAGCAGGGTCACAAAATCCATATGCCCCTGGTAACTAGCAGGGGAACAGCTGGCCTCCCTCAGTTCTTATCTTATTTGAACTGGCAAAGCAAACAGTATGGACCAGCGGGCCAGCGTCAGCCTTGGAGGCTTCAGAAAAGCAGAAACAAGGGCCCTGTGGCTCGTCCTTTTTTGACCCTTCCCTCCCTCGGCTTAACACAGCATTTGGCAAAGGCTGTACTGTACTGAGGAAAAGCAGCCTGTACTGAGGAAAAGCTCTGTGCCAAGTGCTTTTGTGTGCCCGATTCCATTTAAACCTCAACAACCCTAGGAGGGAGGTACTATTACTGTCCCCATTGTATAGAGGAGGAAGCTGAGGCACAAAAAACTGAGGCAACATTAAGTAACTTGCCCAAGATCATTCAGCTACTAAGAGGCAGAACTGGAATTCAAACCATAGTCTGGCTCCAGAGGCCTATTAAGTTACTTGCCCAAGGCCACACAGTTAGCAAGTGACTGTGTTGAAATTTGAACCCAAGAAGCTTGCCTCCAGAGTGTGGAGGCAAAGCTATCCTCCGTGACCCCTCGTCCATCCCGCAGTCACTTGGTATTTGCTGGGATCAGTAAGCAAGAGCACTGGGTGCCAGGAGAAACTTTCCTCCAAGAAGATGAACCCATCCCTGGGTGCTAGTGCCTCTGCCCTGGCTGAGCCAGAAGCCAGAGCAATATAGGTGCTGTCTGTAGGGCCTGTGTGCTTTGGCCTTCCCTCCTCCAGGTGTCTCCTCTAGCCCCAAACACTGTCACTCCCCAGACTGGAGTTGACCAGCACTAGGAGTATCCTGGTGTTGCCCAGGCTGTCTCTACACCATGACATGTCTGGTCCCCCTCCCCTCATTCCTTTGCCCTTCCCTGAGATTGGCCATCACCATGCTTGAATGCCCAAGTGTGCATAATACACACACGCATGCACACGCACGCAGTCTTCTCCACTAGTGCTGACCCACCCAAGTTTTTTTACCCTCAGCTTGCCAGGGGAAATTATCAAAAGGGATGGAGAGAAAATCTGGTGACTGGAGTCACAGCAAATGCGCTCCAAGGCCACCAAGGAGCCCAATTGCCTGTCTGGAATCTCTAGTAAACAGCCCTGAGAACAGAGAGAATAGATTGGAAGAGATCCTTTTCCAACAGCACGAGAGTGCCATCTGTGTGTGCTCTGTGTGGCCACCTGAGCTCCTTCACTTGGCACTTAGTTGCCTTCTTGAGGGAGTAATTGCATGTCTCCAACCAAGACACTGGTCATCACTATGTAAGGCCCTGGGGGAGCAGAGGTAAACACGACACACCCTTGCTGTCCTCCAGGAGCCCACAGAGTGGCGGGGCATACACCTTTATCACCACCCAGCGGGCATGAGGGCCCACTGGGGGGTCCAGATCGTGAGGTCTTTAAGAGTTCAGGGGTGAGCGAGGCAGAACATCATGCATCTGGGGTAGGGAGCAGGTGGTAACAAGGAAAGCTGGAGAGAAGGGGATAGTGCCAAGGTGAGCCTTGACCACCCTGAAGTGTAGAGAAGCCTCCGCCTCTTTGGCCTTATGTCACCCTAGAAGGGCTCTTTTCTTTAAGAGTATGGCCAGAGGCTGTTCCCTGACTCTGCTATCTGTGGTCTCTCCTAGCTCTGGCCTTGAAAGGCATTGACTATGAGACGGTGCCCATCAATCTCATAAAGGATGGGGGCCAACAGGTAAGAAAGCTGTTCCCAGACCACAAAGTGGGAATTGGAGGCCTTGAAGAGGCACCAGGCAGGGGAAGAAGGGGAGGCTCTACCCCAGAGAAGTGAACCTGTGTCTTGTGGACTGTCACTGCAAGAGGCTGCTGGCTCTCCCTTGTGGGACAGGGTGGCACACTATGCAGTAGCAGGAGGCCTGGGGAGGACCCAGGTCCAGGCTGTGTACCCCAGCCTGAGTTCTCCAATGCCTGACCCTTGGAGGGTGGGTGGTGAGTGGGTCCCCACCCCATACTGGGCCCTCTGGATGGCTGACTAGGGTAGGAGCCGCCTTGGTGGCCATGGTGTGAGATGCAGGGAAAAGCCCATAGCCAGGCTGTTAGGATGAAGCCTATGGCTCAGCAGCCGCTGGGGTTTGGGATACTTCATGGATCCCCCAGGGATTACCCTGGGCCTAGGATTTAGGGCCTTCCCAGGGAAGGGAGAGGGGGGTGGGCGGCAGGCCTGGGGTTCTCCGGCTTGCTTGGTTCTCCTCTGGCCAACACAGTCCAGGCCACCCAGCCCACCAGGGCCTTGTCTCCACAGTTCTCTAAGGACTTCCAGGCACTGAATCCCATGAAGCAGGTGCCAGCCCTGAAGATTGATGGAATCACCATTCACCAGTCAGTGAGTGCAGGGCCTGGGGGAGGGCCCTCGTGAGAGCAGTGCCCTGAATGAGAGCGCCTGACATCTCTTCCTCGCCTGTGTATGGTCAAGGTGCCTAGCACATAGGAGAGGCTCAATACCAGGCTCATGGGGAGGGTGGGAGGTTGTTTGGGAAAATAAGGGAAGATTCAAGCACATGGAGAACCAAGTTCTGCAGGATAAGGTCCAAAATGGCTTTATAGGGCTTGAGCTGAGGAGGTGGAGGGAAGAGGTGTAGTGATGGTGCTGGAAGAGGAGGAGGAGGAGTTTGCTGGCCCTGTCCCCTCTGGCCTAGGGTTCCTGGGCCCTGTCCCTGCCTCACTGCTTCCCTCTGGACAGCTGGCCATCATTGAGTATCTAGAGGAGACGCGTCCCACTCCGCGACTTCTGCCTCAGGACCCAAAGAAGAGGGCCAGCGTGCGTATGATTTCTGACCTCATTGCTGGTGGCATCCAGCCCCTGCAGGTGTGGCACTTGTACACTTGCACCCTTGCACACCTCACACACTCTTACATTCACACATTGGCTGTGTGAGCTGCCCATTGTGGGGGCGGGTGCCCAGTATGGGGGCGGGGCCGTCAAGGGAGGGAGGGGGATTGGATTCTCAGGGGCTTTGACCTGGACCATGTGAAAGAAGGAGGCAAAGATCTCAATCTCAGAAATCAGCCGTCCCAGCTGGTCCCCCACTGCGTTCCGAGAAGCTCTAGTTTCTAAGGACGCATGTACAGGTGCTTGAGGTGGGGAAAGGGCCAGGATGGCAGGGGAGACACTGAGCAGGCCCCAGGCCAGGCGTCCCGCCTTTAACCAGAGCGGCTTCCCTTTCATCTGTGCTATCTCGGTCATACACTGGGATACACGTAGGATTTTATTTTTTAAGTGTCACTGTTGAAACAGACAAGTAAGTATTAAAAACAGTTTATCTGTACCAGCTTCTACTCTGAATGAGGAAATAGCCCCAGAAAGGTGGAGTGACTTATGCTGAGTCCCACAGGTAGGTCCTAGCAAAGTGGGGACTAAGTCAGGACCCCTGCATGCCTGTGCCCCGCACTCCCATGTCATTTTAACAAAGGATGTTGGAGCAGACAGACATCTCCATTTTGAGGAAATAATATTCCTCCATAATGAGGAAACAGGTAAAATGGCTCCAGGAGTGCCAAGATGGAGCCAGGCTGGAAATCTCTGAAAGCCAGTCCTGTGGACCTCCCTCATCCCAGCCCCACCCTCTATCACACTCCATCTGCTCACAAGGGACCACACAAGGGAGAAGTGAGGGAGACAGGCCTGAGTTGTAGGCGCATCTGCCACAGCTTTGGCCGCGTCTTGTGTCACATGAATAGGGATTCGTGCACATCTCTGATAGAATTACATGGCTTTTTGAGGCCACTGGGGCAGCCTGTGAAGGTGGCTGCTGGGATGGCTACCTCCCTCCAGCCTCAGGGCCCTGGTAGAAGGAAGGGGCTGGGCTCATGGAGCCTGGGGGGAGAAGGGATAGCTTTGTCCAGCCAGGGGCAGATGGGAAGTGAACTTCCCTGAAGGGGTTTGGCCAAGGGGCAGTCCCCACCCAGTTCTCAGAGCAATCACAGACTTTCTTTGGGCTGCATAGAACCTGTCTGTCCTGAAGCAAGTGGAAGAGGAGTTCCAGCTGACCTGGGCTCAGAACGCCATCATTTCTGGATTTAACGGTGAGTCCTCACCCTGTGAGCTGCCCCACAATGGCCTCTTAGAGGTATGGCCCTCGCACACAGGGGCCTGGGTATCTGAACCACCCTCCCAGGCTGCTTTGGTCCTGACCATTGCATGGGTGAGGGCAGGACTCGGGAAGCGAAGGGCTGGGTGGGCCTCCAGACCTTAGCTCCAGCGCTTCCAGGAACCTTGGTCCCTGCACCCACAGCCCACAGCCCTTCGTAGCTGGGTGGCCCAGCGTCAGCTTCACTGCCCACTCCAGCCAGGAAGCCAAGGCCAGCACAGTGCCAGCCACTAGAGTGAGAGCTGCCACGGCGGCCAATGGCAGGGCTTGTCCACTCTAGTGGGGAAAATGGTGGCTGGCTCTGCGGAGCCTAAGGAGACAGAAGCTTGTCCCTAGCAGCTCTCTTCAGACCTGGCTGCCAGTTCTCGCCAGCAGCCGTGCTCAGTCTGTCACTCAGTTGGGCGCTCATTTCATAACTATGGAGGCCAAGGCCCAGAAAGCTTGGTGTCCCCTTCCTGCACCCAGCATAAGATGTTTATGTGGCCTCCCCACAGCCCTGGAGCAGATCCTACAGAGCACGGCAGGCACATACTGTGTAGGAGATGAGGTAAGCTGTCCCCAGGCCTCCCCAGGCCCAGCCACAGCGGCCGCCTCCCTCATGCTGACCCCAGGCTGTCACTCTCTTCCCCTTAGACTCAGCCATCTCTCATACCCTCAGGCAGGTGGGGCACAGAGCTTCCTGAGGAGGCATCTGCAGGGGGATCTCTGCTGTGGGGCACTCCTCAGCTCACTCCACTACACTAAACCATCTCAAGAGAGAGTTACTCAAGGTAGAAGACTGGCTGTGAGAGGATGAGGCAGGCCAGGCGTCAGTTGAGGGATTGCACTAGATGATGTCTGCACAGTCCAGGCAATCCATCATCTCTGGCCTTCTCAACCCACAGAGTTGGTTGTCAGGGCAACTGGAGCACAGCCTGGTAGGGCACTTCAGCTCTGGGGGACAGACACATGCAGGCCTAGGGCAGACAAGAATTGGGGGTGGGATGGGTGAAAGAGCCAAAGCAGATCGTTGGTACCCCCAGTAGAGTTGCAGTGGACATACCGAGTCCAGCCAGTGAGTCTGGGGTACTCACCCTGATGGGAACCCACGCAACCCTCTTTCAGGTGACCATGGCTGATCTGTGCTTGGTGCCTCAGGTGGCAAATGCTGAAAGGTAAGAGAGAGCCCTGCCACCCTCCTTTCTCCTGGCTCTGCCCACAGTCAGTTACCACTCAGCTGGTGAGGTAGCATCTCATGCAGACTCTTCACCAACCAGCCAAGGGGCCCACCATGCCAGGCCACACAGCCACTTTGGCCTGGAAGAGGGCACAAGAAATTGGGGCAGTGCTCCTACCACACCCACCACAGCCCAGATGATACCATATAGATAGCCCCTGCTCCTAAGAGGAGGTGGCTCACCTGGTGGACCCCCAAGAGCACCTGCCTGATGTCCTCAGATGTGGTGTGTCTGTGCCCAGAAGTGAGCTCTACCTCTGCATCCCTCCATCAACCCTTCAGTAGGGCACGAATGAGCACCTCTCTGGAAGGCATCATGCTAGGCGTTAGGGAAATGGAAATGTCTGGCACATTCCCTGCCCCCAAGAAGCTTACAACAAGGGGGAAGAAAGAGTCTGTATATATAAATGCCTAGCACTGGGCCTTACACATAGTAGGTTCTCAAAGAAATAGGAATAGTAGGTAACAGATGCTAAACTGCACAAGACCTACCCATCTCCTATGAATAAGGGCTGCCCCATCGTCCTTCCCTGGACAGCTCCCTGGACCTCATCCAGCCCTGCCTTCTGCTCCCCCTGCTGCATCAGGGCGGTCTCCCTGTGTCCCTGAAAACCTTTGCTTAGCAGGTGTTTCTCTACTACAGATTCAAGGTGGATTGCACCCCCTACCCTACCATCAGCTCCATAAACAAGAGGCTGCTGGTCCTGGAGGCCTTCCAGGTGACTCACCCCTGCCGGCAGCCGGATACACCCACTGAGCTGAGGGCCTAGCTCCCAAATCCTGCCCTGTTGGTACAGGGCCACAGGAGCAGAAGCTGGGTGGGCTGAAGAGGCCTGGAAACAAGTGAGTTAATTGAGGAGACAGGAGACTCCAACTCTAGCCCTAGATCTGCCTTCCTGCTGAAACTTGTTCCCTCTCAGTCCCCTCATCTGTCAAATGCATGTGGGGTTGGGTAGGAAGATGCTGGGAGCAGCGGGGCAGGAATACTGTTATCTATGTGACGGGGCAGTCGTGAAGCTGAGATGAGAATGTGGATTAAAATGCCTGGCGTGCTCACCATAACACCACGGGAAGCCTGTGTGCCTTTTCTCATCTGCTTTTGTTGTGTCTGACTCCAAAGAATGCCCACACTGAAATTTGGCGTGAATTAAACTGAAGCCCAGGCCTCTACCTTGTTTGTCTAAGACTGAGCGAAGTTCCAGAAGACGAACACTGTCCCTAGCTGGAATCCCCTGTGCCTGGACCAGTAGAGGAACTTAGTCAGCTGTTTGCCTACCCTGTGGCAGGCCTGGCCCATGGGACCTAAGGGCAATGAAGAGAAATACACCCAAAAGCCTGCCTCAAAGAATCAGACAAGATCTAGGGAGATAACAGATAGAAGCAGGAAAGCATCTAGTGACCGGCTTAGTTCTCAGGGCTAGGAATGGTACTGTTGTTAAATGTTCCACTCCAGGCTGGGCGCAATGGCTCATGCCTATAATCCCTGCACTTTGGGAGGCCGAGGCAGGTGGATCACTTGAGGTCAGGAGTTTGAGACCAGGCTGGCCAACATGGTGAAACCCCATCTACTAAAAATACAAAAATTAGCCGGGTGTGATGGCAGGTGCCTGTAGTCCCAGCTACTCAGGAGGCTAAGGTGGGAGAATGACTTGAACCTGGGAGGTGGAGGTTGCAGTGAGCCGAGGTCGTGCCAGTGCACTCCAACTTGGGCGATAGAGTGAGACTTCATCTAAAAAAAAAAAAAAAAAATTCCACTCCAGTACTGAGAGGCCATTTGGCCCTCTCAACCCAGTCCCTCATCTTCAGGGCCAGCATTCTCCAGACCCAGGATTAGGCACTCGAGGTAAATCCACAAATGGTGCTGGGAGCAGTGTGACCAGGCCAGCTCAGGAGACAAAGCAGGTACCAGTGTACCACGGGCTGCCCTGGAGGGAGCAAGTTCCCATGCTTGGCAGTGTTCAGGCAGAACCAGGACCATCTCCGGGCAGAGATGCCATAGGGAGATTGGGGTAGCTTCTGGGGATGAAATGAGATGAACTTTTTAGGACCTTTACCTCCTGAAGGCCCCACCTCTGAATACTGTTGTATTGGAGATTAAGTTTCAACATGAATTTTGGAGGGGACATAAACATTTAAATCGTAGCAAAGACCATCACCTTTTTACAGAATATTTTCCAGTAGGGGCTTCTCTCAAACGGCTGAGTGGTAAGTCAAGTCCTTCCTTTCCATATCACACTCAGCAGACACCTGATCCTGATATGCTAGAGGCCACAGGGAGACTGGATACGCGGTCTTCCCGGAAGTGGGAATGGCCACAGTGAAGGAAGAACAATGGAGTGGCCTGATACTGGTAATTCCAACTCTATGGAAGGAACAAGTCCCCAGAAATACTTCAGAAGGAGGAAAGCAATAGGGAGGTGCTGTCAGGAAATACCTGAGAAGAAAGCAAAAATTATAGGCTTGTGTTCCTCAGAAATTTTATATATCCATTAAGGAAAGTGGCAAACTTACTGGATAAACAGGTGATCCACATATTCATAAGATACTAATTTTTTTTTTTTTTTTTTTTATGATGGAGTCCCGCTTTGTCATGCCCAGGCTGGAGTGCAGTGGTGAGAGCTCAGGTTCACTGCAACTTCCACCTCCAGGGTTCAGGTGATTCTCCTGCCTCAGCCTCCTGAGTAGCTGGGATTACAGGCACATTGGTCAGGCTGGTCTCAAACTCCTGACCTTAGGTGATCTGCCCACCTTGGCCTCCCAAAGTGCTGGAATTACAGGCGTGCGTCACCACACCTGGCCAAGATACGGCTGCTCTTAACTTTTCGTTTTTTTTTTTTTTGGAAGAGTCTCACTCTGTCGCCAGGCTGGAGTGCAGTAGAGCAATTTCGGTTCACTGCAACCTCCGCCTCCCAGGTTCAAGTGATTCTCCTGCCTCAGCTTCCCAAGTAGCTAGGACTGCAGGCACCCACCACCACACCCAGCTAATTTTTGTATTTGTAGTAGAGACGGGTTTCACCATGTTGGCCAGGATGGTCTTGATCTCTTGACCTTGTGATCCACCTGCCTCGGTCTCCCAAAGTGCTGGGATTACAGGTATGAGCCACCACGCCGGGCCTAGATTTTTTCTTTATTTAAAAAAATTTTTCTTAGAGATGGAGTCTCACCGTGTTGCCCAGGCTGAGCTTGATCCTCCCGCCTCAGCCTCCCAAGTAGCTGGGCCAGCTCTTACTTCTAAACATAACTTATTTAGCTCTTGCTTCCAAGGTCACAAGCAATTCTGCTTTCGGAGAATACTTTGAACTAAGGATAGCTGCTGAGTTTAAGTCACAACTGCACAGGTTAAAGAACATCAAGGCTGAATGTCAAGAGCTGTAATGTGTGAGCTGCCTTTTGTAATCTTGAGCTATGTCAAGGTCAATGATATGAAACATGAATGCTTTTAAAAGTTAAAAAATAATCTTAAGGCCAGGTGCGATGGCTCATACCTGTAATCCTAGCACTTTGAGAGGCTGAGGAGGGTGGATTGCCTGAGCTCAGGAGTTTGAGAACAGCCTGAGCAACACGGTGAAACCTCGTCTCTACTAAAATACAAAAAATTAGCTGGGCATGGTGGCATGTGCCTGTAATCCCAGCTATGGGAGAGGCTGAGGCAGGAGAATTGCTTGAACCTGGGAGGTGGAGGTTGCAGTGAGCCGAGATCACGCCACTGTACTCCAGCCTGGCGACAGAGCGAGACTCCATCTCAAAAAATAGTAATAATCTTAAATATATTATGTGTTAACAGTGACATATTACATCCAGCGTACCCAAACACAAATCATTAATGATCTCCAGCTACACGGAATCTGCTTGGGCTTTTTGTTAGTTGTAGGGTAGTTTCGTGATTACATTCATTTACCTCAGTTGTTTCAGATCCCTTCCTCTTTTATGCTTCAACCTCTAAAATATGTTGCAACAGAAAGCAGAGAATGATCTAACGGGTTCATTTTAGGATCACAGGTATCACCGAAGGAAATATTTAAATGCTACCCTTCCGTGCTCAGATGTGAGTCCTTATTCTGCGACAGACACCAGGGATATGGAAAGGCAGTGGTTTAAAAGATAGCAAAGATATATTATGGTGTCACTTTTGTAAATGAAAACAGGCTGAATTCATATCACCCAGATTACGTTAATGATTGGCCTGGTATCCAAAGTCGAGGTTCCAAATTTGAACAGAGTATGTTCATGGGGAAGTGGGCCCCACTGGGACCAAATGCTGACATAAAACTCAGAACTCACTAATCATCACTATAAACCCAGTTTTTCCAATCCCAGTTCCCAGTTCATGATACTCTGCCATGAATTTAAATGCAGATGAAAGATCTATTATTAATCTTATTCTCAATTTTTTTCTTTTTAGTCTTTCTTAACTTTTACAATCTTAATAGATCATGAAATAATTCCTATGGGTTTATACAATACCTTTCTTAAGGAAGATACATGAAAGACAAAGAATTTAAAATGTAAATCAGGTTCATTAAAATACAACTCAGATGTTACCAGGTGCATAGTGAAAAAGTTTATTTATGACAGATTTGAAAACTCGGAAGAGATGACAAAGAATGCACAAAAGCATCACAAAACTGTTACATAATATAAAACACAAGAACTGAGCTATTTAAAGAAGCACAGCTCAGAATCATCAGTGTAATCGCAGTAACACACACCCAGTGCCACAGGGTGACAAAAATGGTATTTTAAAAGAAAAACCACTCAGCAGGACACAAGAATTAAGTAACAATTTGGTAAGAGCTCTTAGAAATCACAGATGTTGATAGCATTTCTCATGACAGGGGACATGTAAAACAAGCTGACCATAAAAAATGATTAGTTGGGATACTTTTGTATTTTAAAGAAAAAAGATAAAACAGTGACACAGTTTCTCTTCCAGACCCTTTTTGTAATGTCAGCAACAGTACATGATACAGAACAGTAAGGAAATAAGGTCTTTGTGGTTGCCAATTGCTTAAATCTTTACAAAGAAAACATGATCATCTTTCAGTCAACTGATTGATCTGAGTACATGGCACCAAAGAAAGCCCTTCAGAAATAGAAGCTAAATGGCATGAAGTAGTTTAGAAAATCTTCAAGCACCTCCCTTTATTCCAATTATCCTTTTCCAAAGTCTGGCTTTCTTATAATCCATCACTTTGATTACAAAACAGCTCTCTTCTGGGACTTTCAAAACACTTCCCGTTATGTTAAGGGAAAATGGGTATGCCAGAGTCATGGGTTACAGGATTGCTTTCTCCAGACTTGACTTCTCTTTAACATGGCTAAATGGAAATAATTTAGCTTGGTTAAATGAAAGCTATTTCACTTAACAGGATAATCTCAGGAGACATGAGTGGAGTTTTTCATGTGGAATTTCTTAGTAAAATGTACTGTTTAGGATATGAGAGAAGGAATTAAGATAATGTTTTCCAGATGACTCTTGGCCTGATCCTAAGAATCAACAATAACAATCAATAGCAAGGAACATTACACATTCAACCCTGAGTGACGAAGAGAGTTCAGGAAGAGAGCCCCTTAAACTCTGAATTAAGGGCTCTTTGGTAATATCATATACTATAATATTTCAAACCAAAACTTCAAAATGGTTCATGATCCTATTTCAGAACTTTAGAAAATATACTTGTCCTCTGGAAGTAATTTCACATATATTATTTTATCCCCAGATAAGCCACAACTACCTGCTTAAAAATTTTTTTTAAACTATGGAATTAAATAAACATGCATCTCTAGATTTCTAGGGCAACTTTTCATCATATCTTAGAATGAAGAGCCATGACATTAACTCTGGTCCACATACCTGGGGCCTAAAAGAAATCAGGTACATAAAATAGGAATCAGATCATGAGCCTCATTTCAAAGCCAGTGTCTTGCCTTTGGACTCAGTGTGTGAGGCATGCCTATTTGTAAATGAGCTCCACTATCACTGGCTTTAGTCTATAGTGTTTTCCTAGCTTAGAAATTTCTTACCTTAAGAATTCAAACAGGAGGGGCTTTGTTGGGCCTTCTT